GAGTCGTAGCAAATAAACTCAGGGAATATGCCAAGAAAGTACTCCAAAGCTCCATTCAATTTCAATCCTGATAGTCAACCAAAATGACTAACTTCACTTAAAATATTTAAACTTGTCAAAAGTCTGAATAAAGTAAGTTTGAACATGTGGCTTAAATAAGATGTGGTTTAAATTTTAAGCCAAATATTTGAGAACTTTTCTCTTGTCCAATCGCCAATTCAAATTATAAAAATTGTTATTTATTTTAGGAGCTGTAAACAAAAAGAGAGGTTAGCAATAAGGCACTTGAAATTTGATGAATTTGAAGGCTTTCAGCAACATTTTTTTCTCTGTGTAGACAGCGCAAGGGAAATCGGGAAGATCGGTTAACCCAGTTTAATTGGCTGTTTTGCGTGGGAATGCCCTAGACCGTAGTCCGTCGACTGGCCTCTCAGGTCAGTTAGCTTGTTTGTGATCTCGACAGCTTGTTTGTAATCCAATCAGCTATCCAAAAACACACACGTTTTGAACGTTGCGTTGTAAAGAAAAAGCCACTTGTGGCTGCCCACAAAAGACAAATTGTTATGGTCAAAACCAGCACTTGGGCGCACATGGAACTACTTGGGCGCGCTCCATTAAATCAAATAATGTGTGTACGGGCCAATCAGTGACCGAAAAGACGGTATTCTCCTCCTCGCAGTCGTCATCGTTCAGTTGTGTCTAACTGCATTTTTACATCAATGGTCATGTGACTGTGGCCAAGACACGCAACGGGTTAGCCACTTGTCAAGCTGGCGTCTCTTGGCCAACTAAATGCAGCACAAGCAACGGGAATGACGACAACTTGGCCAGCAAACGGGTCTCAGACTGTGTCGTCGTCCAAGTCCAAGTCTGAGTTCGAGTCTGAGCCTGAGTGTTCCAGTCTGGTTATCGGATGTCTTAGCCAACTCTTTGTATCTTGGCACAACACTCTCCTCGGTGCTAACTCGATGCCTATTCACATAATCATTGTGACTTGCGCTTAAGAAAAATGCATTGCCAATAACCGTTTAGCCAATTAATTGTTGGCATCATTCACCGTTGACAAACGCCACATCCGCTGGCCACATTCATCATCATGCAAAAGCGATTGGCCACATTGCATATGCCTTGTGATATAATTCTGGCCACATGCAACCATAACTGTGCCAGTTTTCATCTTGGCCACCGTCTAGCTCCCAGTTTCCGACTCGACGCTTTGGCCATAATTCTGGTTTTTTGTTGTTTTCGGCTTTGGTATGAGCTGCAGCTGCATGCCCAACTTTTTGGTAACGGCCGTCTGGCATTTTGGCTGCCACACACAATCAGATAAAAATGTATCTGTGTCTTGGCTATGTGTAATAGATACATGCAAACCTATAATTTCAATTCAATGCAAATCTTTGAATGCACTTAAACACATTCAGCGGAATTTTTGTGATTAATGCAACAATGAGGCTATTAAAAACTACACACAGATACCACAAAGCAATTAGATTAGAAGCTAAACAGTAAATAGTTGCTTATAAGGTGGGAGAGAATGTGTCTAAATAAATATTTAAGTGCTGCCAGCGACGAAAAACTTCAGAATAATTATCACAAAAAATGGTGTTGACTTTGCAATTAGATAAATAAAATATTCATCAACGTATTTTTTAAAGTATTGTTCGTATGACCATAATTTATGTTTAATTTTATTATATCCTGCTCAAAAACAAAAGGTGAAAAATAGTAAAGCTAAAGTCTAGTTCTTATAAAATAACAGCATTATATCAAATGAAAGATGAGGTATCACAACAATATAAAATCAGAGATAAAATATTGCCAGTCTGTTTTGAGATTTATTAATTATTCGTTTGGTTTACGACTTAACATCGAAAAGAAAATGCTCAACTAGCTTTATTGTCTTTGAGCTCAAAAGTGCTTTAGGTTGAGTTGAGAAAACAGCCAATCTTCTCGGAGTAGACTGAGCAGCACAAATAAAAACTTTATGGGAATCGTAAAACATACTTTGTGTATCTATTTGGACAACTTTATTTTGCCCAACTTAATTGTAAGTGTCTGAAATTGCATAAGTTTTTGGGTTATTCCCATGCATCTGATATGCGGCAACTAAAAGTTGCATTCCACAAAAATTATACTTTCATTGCACACACTTAAAGCACAACTTTGTAACCAGATCTGCTCTCACTTAAGTATACGATAAGTATATTCAACTTTATGAATCGCTTTTTTTTGCGTTACGCACTTGCATTCAACCAGAGAGCTAAATTATACATGCAGGCAGGGAAAAAATGGTGGTACTTAAATTAAGTTAAAATTACTTGAAATTCAAGTTAACCAAATTTGACAGAGGATCCATTTAAAGCGAGCATAGAAAAAGCCAGAACTAAGCACAGAAAGTCTGAAAATTGTTAAATTAATTGTGTCAAGTTACTAGAAATGAGTACGAAAAGACTTAAGTTGAAGTTTCTTGCTTTGAATATATTCTATACTGCAATAAGCTAGTTAAACCGCCACAAAAAGAACCACAAACAGAACTTGACTTAAATACAGTCAGCTAGGGAAATCGTAATTAGATTAAGTTCATAAGGGATTCGAATTTATTTCGATCTTAAGATCGTGTTTGTGCCAAATGATTGATATTTTTCTCACTGTGTATAGAGTAGTACATACAGATATCAACGACACCGACAATGTTCCCATCATGCACACATAAATCAATGCTGCTGCTGTGCCCTCAATACTTGCAGCATTGATTCATGTATTCATTCATTCATTGAGTCAGTTATTCATTTCACAGTAACAACAAAGCGGCCGACAAGTTTTTTAAGCTTCTCGGTTTTGTGGCCCTAAGTATGCCTTTAGGTAGGAGAGTGGGCAGATAGGCTGGTAGCTTGGTAGTTTCAGTTGTAGCAGCCTCTTGAGTTATATTTACATTATCGTTGAGCGCGGAGGTATTAAAAAAAAAACGAAAAAAAACCTTTTGCCAGCCATAAGACTTCCACTTTCACTCCAATGGCCAAGCAAGCACATACTAAAATACCGAGCGACAAACAATAATAAGAAGAGCAAAAATAACAACAACAACGGCAAACCAGGCAAATGAAAAGTGTAAAGCAAAAACAACAACAAACTTGAAAAACACAAAAAAAAACCAAACGAAGAAAATACACATAAAAATCTAGTAACTGCTATGAACTCTTAGAGGGGTGCCGAAGAGGACGGGGGCGGTTGGTGGGTGGAAAATCGCTTTTAGCAGCTACCTGGCAATAAAACACAAATGATTTTAATTAAAGCGAATTTAACACGCAATTAAAAATGCTTGGATAAGGAAAACGACTAACGAAAAAAAGGCATTTCATAATACATTATAAACACAACTGTTAACGGCGCTGAGCATTTAAAAAATGCGGTAATCAAGCGTTTTGATGCGTTTTGTCATTCACAGACTCGGAGACTCTGAAAACAACATCAGCTCCAGCTTCACTTTCAGCTTGGCTCTAATTATAAGCCAACTTGCAAATAAAAAGTTAAGAAAACAAAAGGCAGCTCAAATATGCTGCAGGTGGCTGACTGCCACTCACTTTCGCCAGTTTGCCACCAGTTCAAAAACAATGATTTAAAGGAAATATAAAATAAAAAGCTGAGCGCAATTCGTAGAACACTTGGCTATATAATTTTGCACCCACTTCCACTTCCACTTGTGTGTACACTTAGAGAAAGATTATTATAAATGTATATTGTTTGGTTTTTAAGTACATTAAATAAAATTAATTGTTTACTCAAAGTATTTGCCACCGTTTTGCAATGAGAACTATTTTACTTTATTTAGCTTCAAAGAAGAATATGAGTATCTAGTCTATAGTTCTTTAGTATACGATTTTCTACAAGTTTACTCCCTATTCGAGTACAATAGTCTCTAAGGTTTTTTGCTGAGTGTAGCAACTGTAAGCATTGCTGGTATTTGCTTTGACTCGAGACACAAACACTCACATTCATAGAGCACATTACTCATGGATCACTCTTCAAAAAACGGAAACGCATACGGCTCGCTGCACCAGACGAAGGTAAAAATGTAACAAAAAAAATAAATCAAAAAATGGCAACAGGTGCATTTTGTGGCAGCCGTCGTCGATTGCATAATTGCGGGTGCAACAGATTTGGGTGCCTTTGCGGCTCATTTGCATGCGTTTCTCGCATTAGCAATTAAAAACGCAGCTGCCGTGTCGAAATCTAGCATAAAACGATTTTACCTTTGTATCTTTGTTCTCCAACTTCAAGCGATTTGGATTTGCTCAAGTCAAGAAAATTAAACGTGAAAAACTTGCAACAATAAAAAAATCCAACTACTTGAATTGGTTTCATTGCTTTCAAGTTTGTACACCCTGTAATTATTAAAGGTTAAACGGCGTTTTTTCTAAGAACTTTAAATATGCAGTTAGTCGAAAATGTGGATGGTAGAAATTATTGAGACAATCTTTAGTTAACCCTTTCTTATATTAAGAATTATTTAACAATACTAAGTTGAAACAGTTTCATTAAACTGTTTTTAAATATATTAAGAATAGAAAACCCATGCGCCCATTATGAAGTTATTGTCTTTGAATTTAATTCTAATATGATGTGTATATTTCAAAAAATTATTTCAACAATTCCAAACTCATTAAAAAACAAAAATCATGAAATGAAAGTTATCATTTAATTTAATTGTTAGGCTTCCCCTAAAATATAATAAAACTACAGTATGCAGAACTGCAGAGTATCCAACAGTCGATACTCTTGACTTGTGCCAGCCTGACAATGGCTGACTGTTGCATGTGTGTGTGTGTGTGTGTGTGTGTGTGAATCTGTTGGTCTTTCATTAAGCAAATTTGCCGCAAATTATGACTAACAATCGCCACGCTGGCATTCTTGACCCAGTTTAACTTGAAATTAGCCACATTTTTTGACACCAGCACACTAAATCATTCTATATCTTTTCCGCTCTTAACGTTTTGCAGACCATGGAGCTGAGCAACTTTTCCAACAATAAGAAAATGTCACGCGAGGAGCGACGGTATTCAGTGCCGCATGGTCCAAATACGCCGCTGCCACCGGCGGCATCCGAAGATCTGCATGCCTGGTCCATCTATAGGTGAGTCCGGAAAAGCATTAAACAGTGGGCGTGCCCTTGATGCATCCGCTGTGGTTGGAGCAGCTACTGATGGGGCAGCGGCTGCACCTGTTTTTTTTTTTTATATTTTGACAATATTGACGCTTGATTAAACCGCAGCAGAGCGGAAGTTTAAATGACATAACTTTAATTAAACGCTACACTCAGAAAAACCATTTTTTTTTTTTTTTTATGAAATATAATTCTAGTTTTTTACAATTGAAATATGAATTTAGCTTGCTCCAAGTGTTTTAAGTGAGTTGTTATCAATGCGAATAATATATAAATAGTTATAGAATATCATTTTTAAAAATCAATGTAAATGTTTTTCAGAAAACTTTCAGAAAGAGAATGTTTTTAAATGTATTGAAAATTGTATAAAACAATTCGGAAAGACGTGTTTGGCTCTAATAGAGACACTGCCATGCTTGGGCACATTTTGCTCTGAGTGTAGTTAAACTGACCACACCCCATGACTAGCTAACCGCAACAGCTTAATGCATTAAACTCTCTCTGATCTGCAGGCAAAATTTAAACTCTGACTTCACCGATTCGGCGCTGGGATCGTCAGACAAATCACCGCTGCCATATGGAAATTTCCAGCTACGCGATACCACAGTGCAATCAATCTTGAATCATCCGCGCTACGGACCCAAGTAAGCAGCAAGACAAATCAAAAAAAAAACAATTATATAAATATATATATACTATATACATTCTGTTCGAACGTGTGTAGATAAACAAATTAACAGCATTCTTAAATGCTGACAGCGGAGCGATAGAATTTAAATATGCTAATAATAATCCAATGAAAAAAGAGCTAAATGTTTTTCAATATAGGCCCAAAAATATTTATGTCATCAGCTAGAATCTGACAACTCAGAAATGTAAAAGATTCGAGAAAGTAAAGGTATACAATTAAATTTTAAATAATTATATAGTAATTAATAGATTTAGACTCATTTTGCTTCGTTGCTTATTCTAAACATGCGTTTTTTTTAGGTAGAGTGAGAATAATTATGATAAATATATCTATTAACTTAAGGTGAGACATCAGCTAATTTTTGTGAAGACAGAATAAGTCGGTTTTTGTGTAGCCATTATTTTCTTAAAGTTAGGACAGAATATATAGCAATCGCTATAGATACAATTTATATGGACTTAAGTGCTCTTTTATGCATGATCAGAAGGATGGCCTAAAACACAATAGGAACATAAGTTAACCTTTTTCTTATATAAGAGGCCAACTTAATCTTTTTCTTATAAGTGGAGAACTCATTTTGAATTCAAATGTTCTGTGTCTTTGTGTAGATCACCGCTGGGCTCCAATATGTATACATATCTAAAGTTTGGACTGCCGCGCGTCTTTCCGCCCAATGCCGGCTCACAGCGCTCGCATCGACCTGGTCCGGGACCGGGTTCGGGACCCGGTCACGGCAACTCCAGCGCATTGGGCGGCGTTCGTGGCCGTGTGAATCGCGGCTTTCGCGATAGTTCGGGTGTACCAGCTGGCGCCGGTTCCAGTGGCTATGATAGCAGCGACAATGAGACCACCCGGAGTCGTGTGCCTCCGAATCTACGCAAATATCGCAGCGAGTCAGATTTCCGTGCCATCAGCGGCATGGGCATGACCATGGCGCATTCCCGTCCAGAGTCCCGAGCCCAGGGCGGTGTACCCTCGGCGGCACTGCGTCAGGCAAATAGTCGCGCCAGCATAGCTGTCGGTCAGCATCATCATCATCTCCAGCAGCAGCAGCAGCAGCAACAGCAACAGCAACATCAACAACAGCAACACCAACAACAATATATGAATGGCAAACACTATGGACATCGTTCGCACAGTGAGGCGGATCTGCTGGGCGCCGGATTGAGCGGTGACGGTGGCGGTGGGCTCGGCTATGATTACGGGGAGTCACGGATCTATGGCAGCTCCCGACATGGACAATCGTATGGGCGCAAGCAGTCGAGCATGGGTCTGATCTATCCCAATATTCAGGTGCACTGCCTCGATGTGAGTCCTTGTCTCCATGGCGTTTCACTCCAGGCGAAGGCTGGCGATTTGTTTGCCATTATGGCCACATCTCAAAGGGAGGGCAGTGCTCTGGCTGAGTGCCTGGCGGGTCTGCGCGAGCGTCTGGGTGGTGAGATCCTCATCAATGGCCAGCATGTGAATCGTCGCGGACTAAGAGAGCTGTGCAGCTATGTGCCGGCATTGGATGTGTCCTCTCTGGATCCTCGCATGAGTGTCCAGTGCACATTGAATTTCCATGCAGCGCTGCGTGGTCCGTTGGATCGCAGTGATCTTAAGGAGCGCATGGATGTGCTCATTGAGGATCTGGGCTTGAATACGGTGCGTGCATCGAATGTGTCCACGTTGACGCACTCAGAGAAGCAGCGTTTGAGTGTCGCCTGTCAGCTGTTGGCTCAATCTTCGCTGCTGATACTCGACCAGGTCACTAGCAATATGGACATCTTTGACACGTTCTTCCTAGTGGAGTATTTGCGTCAATGGTGCAGCGGTGGTCGCATTGTCATTATGACCCTGCAGCCACCCACCTTTGAGATACTTTCCATGTGCTCCGGCGTATTGCTGTTGTCCGGCGGGCGCACCGTTTTCTCCGGCAGTCGAGCCGATCTGCCGCGCCACATGGGCGAATTGGGATATCCGTGTCCGCCATTCAAGAATCCAGCGGACTATTATCGTAAGTGAACACATAATTAACTTATAGAGAGAACTTTCATCAATTCAAATCTTAAACTAATTTCGCTTTTGGAAATGGTTTACCTTTAATTGAGCTTGAATTAAATTATTTAGCTTTATAGCACTTTATTTAAGCATCTTTTGCTTGTCTTCCTCAGTGGATCTGGTCACCTTGGACGATCTGTCGGCAGCCGCCATGCTCGAGTCCTCGGCACGCATTGAATCGCTGGCTAATGCCTGGGATCAAATCAACTCGGAGCCGCCGCTCGCTGCTCCGCCCGCCTCCCTGCCCAATTTCACGCTGAAGGCGGGCTTTTTTGGCCAAGCCAAGGCGTTGGTCAAACGCTTTGCCGGCTACAAGCAGCCCGGATCGTTGCTCACCTGGATCAGCAAGCTGATTGCTGCCGCTGTGCTTTCGCTCTGTATTGGTTGCATCTTTTGGGATGTGCCCGCTTCTGATCCACAGTTGTCTTACAACGATCGCCTTGGCTATCATCATTGCGTCATGGTGCTGGCCTATTGGCCACTGGTCATGCTGACCATACGCGACACACAGGAGGATCGACGCCATGCGGAGCGAGATATACGACTGGGTCTCTACTCGCGCAGTCTTTACATCATTGTGCAGGTGAGCTAAGTCCCAAGACCTCCAACTAAAATAGCTGTGCGAAATTTATACGAAATACAATTCACATAAGGAAAATATTTTTATATGTATTATTATATGAGCATTAACATACACTATCTTTATTTGAAACAGAGTCTGCTAGGCCTCTTTCCCAGCCTGTGCATTTGGCTGGCATACCTGCTGCCCGCCCATAGCATGGCCGGATTATATACCTACTCGAATAGCAGCGATACTGGCATCTATTTATATATGGGTATGTATCAGATCAATAAATATATATATACATAACTGGCTTATCATTTCTAATGCCATCTTTTTACAGGGTATATGCTGCTCTATCTGACGCTAATACAAACACTTGCGTTATTCTGTGCTCATCTGCTGCCCTGCAAGATATCCGCCAGTCTGGTGAATGGTTTGATCAGTTTGGCATTATCTGCCGTCGGCGGTTATCTGGTGCATCCACGTAATCTGTCCAAGCTGTGGTCCTGGCTACAATTGGCTTCACCGCAGCGTTGGTTGCTGCCGGTCCTGGTGCAAGATGAATATAGCGCCGAGACGCTGGCCAATTCGGCCGGTTTGCAACTGTGCCGCAACAAACAGGTGAGCTGAACAAGAACACATCCCTTGGACATATTTTAGATGATTCAATTACTTTTTCAGGTCCAGCACCAGGAGATCATTGTGCAGCAGCCCTGCCCGCCGCCAAATGGCACTCAAGTTCTGGTCGACTATCAACTGCTGCCGCAGCAGCATGTCCTCGACCCGACACTCAGCTACGATCAGACCACCTCGGTGGCTCTGGTCCTTGCGTCCGTGCTCATCTTCTGTCTGACTTTCGTTATATTTGTGTGCAATTGTCGGGGCGCCTGTCGCAAGCGCCGCAGTCGGCGCTACTAAGCTGCAACTGCAACAACTGTTGCAGCATTTGACAAACAAAACAAAACTGTACATTAGTTAGCAACTAATTTTTTTAATAAATAGCTTTTAGACGAGGCAGCGAACGTTTAACTAACTAATCAAACTGACTTTTACTTTTTATTTGAAGGTATATTCGAGATTTACCCCGATTAAATTTTATATATATTTAATAGACCATTTTACGTTCTAAAAAATAATATATAAAAAATGGGTAACGTTTAAAGTGACAATATTATTTTAAAACATGATTAATCTTGTCATCCAATTTTTTAAGCAGTTTGGTAAACTTATATTCTGCATGCTTCCATGAATTGTATATAGATTTAGACAAATGATTCTAAAGCTGAAAACTAAATCAATTAAGCACTCAGTCCATCAATATCTCCGACATAGAAAGTTTGAGGTTGTGGAATCGAGATTGGCGTAGACAAACATGTAATCCTTTCTGATATAATATATATTTATTTATTGATATTATTATTGTTGCAATTAGGTTTAAGGAATGTTCTTGTTCAGGCAGTTTGAATGTGAATTGAGCTCATAAATTCCGCGGTTTCCAAGGTTTAAAGGTGAGTTTAATGATGGAACAAACGGAGATCGGTGTGAGCCATTATAATGCCATGTTCATCACAGGCAGCAATGACGCCTGCATCATTAGTGGAGCCCGATGGACTGGCGATGTAAGAGACGCCACTCTGCAGAAACAATTAGTTAAAGTTATACATTTTATTAGGCGACATAAGCTAAATTTACTCACCAATCTGGCGCGATCAATATTGTCCCGGAAGGGGAAGAAGGCATCCGATCCCAGGGCCACACCACTCAACTGTTGCAGCCAGTCAAGTTTCTGTTGCTCCGTCAGCTGCTCAGGCGCCTTATCGAACCTGTAGAGGATTGAATCATGTTAGGAATATTTATATAGGTTCAAAATTGAATCCACTTACATGCCCTTAAGCTGTGTTAGGGGCATATCCTTGCCCACAGTGCCATTCACATAGTTGTCAATTGCATTTGAGATTTCGGCACGCTTGACGCCCGCCTTGAATTTCATACCAGCCACGTTGGGATGCTGCCTCAACCACCAGTTGTCAGCTTTCTCGCCAGCCAGGCGTGTGCAATGGATACGCGACTGTTGTCCGGCTCCAATGCCAATGACTTGACCATCACGGGCATAGCAAACAGAATTACTTTGCGTATACTTCAAGGCAATGGTGGCCACAATCAGATCACGAACAGCGGATTCAGGCAACGGCCTCTGCTTGCTGACCACATTTGCGAAGAGCTTGGCATCGATAATGGCATCGTTGCGCTTCTGCTCCAGTGTCAAGCCAAAAATAGTTTTGCGTTCAACAGCGCTGGGCTCATAGCTGGGATCCATCTGCAAATGTAGATGTAATTTATATTAGTAAGTTAATCAGTTATATAAATATATATCTATCAAGTCACCTGCAGAATACAGTAGCTGCCTTTCTTCTTTTTCTTGAGTATCTCCAAAGCCTCCGGTTCATAGCCAGCCGCAATGATGCCATCGGAGACCTCACGTGCGATAATCCTGGCCGTGATCACATCACACACATCGGAGAGTGCAACGAAGTCACCAAAGGAACTCATGCGATCCGCCCCACGTGCTCTGGCATATGCTGTGGCCATGGGCGTCAACTGTTCGTAGAGATCATCGACCATGCAGAGCTTGGCCTGTGCGGGACTGAGTGCCACGCCCACAGCAGCGCCAGCAGGTGAGACATGCTTAAAACTGGTAGCCGCTGGCAATTTCAAAGCTTGCTTCAACTCTCTAACCAATTGCCAGCCATTGAGTGCATCGCACAGATTAATAAAACCAGGTGAAGCATTCAGCACGGTCAGTGGCAGCTGAGCTAACCGAGTGTAGAGTTGAGCCGGTTTCTGGTGAGGATTCATGCCATAGCGAAGCGTTAGCTGTGACGAAGCAGCGCTATATTGCTTTCGGAAATAATCGGAGATGGCATCATCATAGCTAGCCGTATGAGTAAAAGCCTTGAGGGCCAAAGCCTGTCGTGTCTCCAGTGTGGTGTCACCATTTGCGGCAAGCTCTTCCAGCACTTTGAGGTAGTCAACAGCCTCACAGATGACAGTGACGCGCTGATGATTTTTGGCAGCGGCACGCAACAAAGTCACGCCACCAATATCAATATTCTCGACGGCATCAGCCAGGGTGACATCCGGCTTGGCAATGGTGCTGGCAAAGGGATACAGATTGCAGACGACCAGCTGAATAAGATCATAATGCTGTTGCTGCATATCAGCCAGATCGCTCTTAGTGGTGCGCGACAAGATGCCCGCATGGACAGCTGGATGTAAAGTCTTGACACGACCACCCAACATTTCGGGTGCACCCGTTATATCAGAGACATCCTGTACGGTAAGTCCTGCGCCACGCAGAGCCGTTGCAGTGCCACCACTAGCAACTAGCTGAAAGCCAAGGACCTGCAGCTGGTTGCCCAGATCTAACAGGCCTGTTTTGTCCGAGACGCTGAGAAGTGCTGCAAATGAGATATAAATGAGAAATTGAGGAACCGAATAATTAATATACACATCAACATACCTATTTTCTTGGTTGCCATCGTTGCTGATCCTTTGAGTTCGTATTGCCGTTTTGCGTACGTTTCACTTCGAAGACTGAAATGCAAATGAAAGATGAAATGATTTCAGTTTGTCGGACGTAGGCTGCATTTGCACAAACATGTTTTCGCTTTTTCGCTAGGCAACGACCTCTGTGGGCTGCAATTTCACAGATAGCTGATACCTCTGCTGATCGCAACTCCCGGCCCCAGAGAAACGTCATTTGATACGCTTGCATCAGCCAATAAATAAAAATTGCAATAATTTTTAATGTGCCGCACATTAAATACCCTTGCAAAACATTGATAGTAGGATGTTAAGAGTTGTTCATAGACTAATAATGAATCATGAATATATGTAAATACATACAGACGCTGTACACTTCATGACATACTTAAAATACCCTCTCCACTCTCTGTATAGAAAGCGACAACTCAGTTTTTGTAGACGTAAATAGATTTATTACTAGATTTCTGTCTGATTGTGTCTCTCAATTTACAGCGCCTTATCAGACAACGGCTCAGAGGCAGTTGTTGCTGCCGTCGTTGTTGCTGCATCTTTTCCTGCCGCTTGCCTCTCCTTGCGTCGCTGCGACTCCCGTCGACGTTTGTGTTTGTTCGACTTGAGATGCAGGTTCCATTGATATTCCCCAATGAAGAGTCGCTCGCAGATGGCACAAAAGTTGCTCGTCTCCTCGTCAAGATCGGCGCCTGGATGCACACGCTTAGCCATGGGCTCCAACTCACAGATTTGCTCCTGGCGATAGCTACCGATGATGCACTCGGCACGCTTATAGACGCAATCGTGCCACTTGCTCACATCACTTGTGTCCAGCTCGTAAAGATCGGGCACTTGTCGATCCTTGCTGGCGAGGAATCGATTGTTGATCCACTTCAGCTGCTTCTTGGAGTAGCGACGCGTCACAAGCTTCAGTTCGTCACAACAGCTGCGTAGCAGTTGTAGGCTGGCAGCCAACTGCACTGATTCGCTGCTCTCGATGATTAGCAGCTGCTCGTTGCTGGGCAGCTGGTAGTTGTTAGCGCTTAGATACGCCTCCACACTAGCATCCTGCTGATCGTCATATTTTGTCAGATACGGCACAAACTCCTTGTAGCCAATGGTCTGCAGCACACCCTTTGTGAATGCTTGCTGCGTGGCAGCCGCATTGGAATTGTGAAAGTGGCGCAGCTCCTGCAGCAGTCCCTGATGCAGCATACCATCCACACGCTTGTCCAGTCGCTCATTGAGCACATCCTGCCGGCAGCGCAGCCAGAGCAGGATGGTATGTGGATAGCGCAGGGGACCACCCAAGCGATTGCCACCTGGCTGCTGGCGCTGCTTAGCCAATTTGGTTGTCAGAGTTTGCCCCGTGCTCTGATAGACTTCAATGGCTCGTTGAATTTTCCGGCGATTATTTGGATGAATGCGATTCGCACTACTCGGATCGATTTTGGTTAAATGCTGATGCAGCTCAGCAGTGCTCAGTTCGTGTGTTGAGTTTGTATCATCTGCGGTCTGCTCATCCTTGGTGTTTACCAGTATATCCCAGAGCAGGGATTCGATGTAGTAATTGGTGCCGCCAACAACAATTGGTGGCTTCGATTTGGCCAACAGTTGTTCGACAATTGGCAACGCTGCATTGCGAAAATGGGTGACAGTGAAAGGCTCCGCTGGTGTTGCCACATCCAGCAGATGATGCCGGGCTCTCGATTGCTCTTCTTTGGTCGCCTTCGCTGTGGCAATATACAAATTTGTATAAACTTGCATGGAATCTGCGCTAATTATCTCGCCGCCAAAGCGTTCGGCTAGCTCCAGCGATAGTTTCGTTTTGCCCGTGCCTGTAGAGCCCAATATCACTATTAATGGCACCTTTCGCAACATTTTTTTATTTAATTTCACATCCAATTTATCCACAAGTGTTTTTGCGGAAATTTACAGCGCAATGAGTGAGAGAGAGAGAGAGGGAGAGGCGCATGCTCTCACATTTCCGCGCACGTGTACTTAAACCACTTGTTGATCCGTTATAAAAAAGTACACAAATACTTAAACTAAAAGTAAGAATAAATCACAGCTAGTGTTTAATTATGATGATGTACCTAAAACCAATCAACTTTTATTAATATGTTAATAAACTTACAAGCTATTTGCGCGGAAATGTTCTTATATCGATACTTATTAGTTCAGCCTATCGATACTTCAGTCGGCACTAATGAACACTGCATTGTGGAGTAAAATCTAATAATTATTGTCACAACATCGCAAGCAATTCTTATTCGATGTGCTCTAATTAATATTTAACTTTGAAAACACCGGACAGACCGAAAGTATTAACTTATATTTTACTGCACATTGCAACAAAGCTACATTTGTTTCTCAAAATTAGTCAAAGTAGCCCATCGTACAGCACTCAAGAAGCTTTGAAAGCTTTATCAATTGCCGGCATAGCAGTGCGTTCAGTGAGTTCAGTGCGCTCATTCTCTTTGAGATATTCAGTTCGAGAGGTTGTGTCGCTGCTGCTGTTACAATCTATTTAATATCTCCAAGCAAAACTCAACAAGTGAATTTATAAGTTAAAGTTGTTTGTATAAAAAATGGCATGCACAAAGTTCTTGACGCTCAACAATGGCGAGAAAATGCCCGTCATTGGCATTGGCACTTGGCAGGTAATGATTGAACAAATATTTTATTCCAAGAGATATGATTAAAATATTCTAAACATGATAAAAATAGACTTAAATGAAAATTATTTTGACAACAGGAACAGCGAATATGTCACGTCATTTAGTACTTTTTTAATCAGTCTTTTGGAATGGGTTATTTGCTCAGGGAAGTTGCATTTATTTCTTTTTAGATTTTTTGATTTTTGTAACGGGCGAACCGGTTCTCGAGCTTGTGTAAATAAATCGACCTTTGTGGGGCACAAGTACGATAAATCGGCTTTCTCCAAATATTGTACAGACAAACGGCAGCATTGTGCGTAATTAAAGCTGCATCCACATCAGAGGCACAACTATCTTTACGACTGAAAAAAAAACATATTAATTTTACAATCTTTTCAAATGTTCATTTTTAATGTATTGTTTAATATTCCACTCAATATATATCTATATCTTTTTTTTAAACCTGAAAAGAAAAGTGCCAAAATTAGTGAATAAATACTTTTGCCACTGAGAAATCGTTTATTAATGTCAAATTTTCATAACATTTAGATAATATTGTTATAAGTTTTTCATTAATGTTCCTCCTCTTTCATAAAATGCAGTTTTTATTTAAATTTTTGGGTAAGTTTTAATAAGTTGAAAATGGTGGTTAAAATAATGTTTTTCTTTCTTGCTCACTTAATCTTTCCATAAACTTACAAATTTCAAAATAGCACCTTTGAAAATTGGTACTATTATTATTATCAGAACTGTAAATGCATACTTAATAAACCGCAATCTCCACATTAAACGTTGAACAGGCTTCGGATGAGGAAATCGAGACTGCAGTAGATCTGGCCTTGGAGGCGGGCTATCGTCATATCGACACGGCTCCCGTCTATGGCAATGAGAAGGCAATTGGACGTGTTCTCAAGCGCTGGCTGGATGAGGGCAAGGTTAAACGGGAGGACTTGTATATTGTGACCAAATTGCCACCCATCGGTAAGATCTCATTTATTATTTATAAAAAAAATTTGACAGTTGGTTGTTTTTTTTGGATAACCTTTTAACCTTTGAGTCCATGAATGAAGCATAAAATTATAGTTTAAAATTAACTTTGATAGCCAACCGTCCGCACGAAGTGGAGCCTACAATTAGGGCATCGCTGTCGGACTTACAGCTGGATTATGTGGACATGTATTTAATTCACACGCCATTCACCGTCTTTATTAATGAGGATGGGAGTTTTCAGTTTGACGCCGAAGGTCGCGTTAAGGTTGACAAGTCGACAAATCATATCGCCACCTGGGCAGAAATGGAGAAACTTGTGGAATCGGGCCTGGCCAAATCCATTGGGGTTTCCAACTTTAGCAAGGAACAAGTGGCGCGCCTCTTGAACAACTGCAAAATTCGTCCGGCCAACAATCAGATCGAACATCATGTTTATCTGCAACAACGTGATCTGGTCGACTATTGCAAGGCGGAGAATGTGGCAATTACGGCGTATTCGCCACTTGGCTCCAAGGGCATTGCCAAGTTCAATGAGGCGGCCGGTTTGGTCCGTGAGCTGCCCGATCTGATGGACATAGAGGAGGTCAAAGAAATTGCCACGGCTCACGGCAAGACCCCAGCCCAAGTGCTGCTGCGCTGGATCATCGACAATGACTTGGTGGCCATTCCAAAGAGTACAAATGCCGTACGCTTGAAGCAGAATCTGGATGTCTTTGACTTTGAGCTGAGCGCTGAGGAGGTGGAGAAACTCTCCGCCATGGACAAAAACATTCGCATTTGTGACTTTTCCTTCTTTCGCGGGTAAGCAATCGAGTAACTTCACTTCAAGTAATCCCATTCGCAACTAAATCCTCATTTCTTGCAGTGTCGAACAGCATCCAGAATTCACCTTCAAAAATCAATTCACCGACTAAGTACAAACAGTTGCACTTAGTTCAAGCACAATCGGGTTTTTTTTTATTTTGATTTCCTAACAGAATAAATAATGCAGAACATCTAAGAATTGTTATTACAAAAATAATCCATCATATTTTGCAGTATCGAATCTTTTTCAATAGCCAATGCTATCATATTTATATACTTTAACTTTATATTTGATTTGATTTGCGTGCAATAAAAAAAGAGAAGCTCAAGAATTTGTACTGGTTTTCAGTGAATCCAACGGCTGCAGCATTCTGGTTATAATTTTCATAACGACCGGTTTTCCCTGTCGTTTTCCACTGGATCGGGGCGTGGCTTCCGCCAGAGCAACAACCTTTTCGGTATTTTCCCTCTCGGTTTTATTATCGCTTAAGCTTACGCTTTGTTCGTTTGTGACAAATAATTTTTCACTGAAATTTGAACTTTGGTATTATCTGTTCTGAATCAGAGTTTTATTTGTTAGTACATATTAACATACAAATATTTGCAACAAAATTTAAGTGCATGCATTTTCTACTTAAAGCAGACAATACACGGGCATAGCTTTGTATGTATGCGTATTTGTGTGTCCGTCGAGAAATATTGATTTTGACATGTCGAGACAATGATCGGTCAGCAGTTAAACCAGTCAGTCGGCCAACAGTTAAACCTGCCAGTTTACGAAAGGTTATAACCCTTATGACCTAGCAGAAAAAGTTCCAATATGTATTGTCTGCTTAGTGGTTTAAGTCCACCTTTTCTTTCTCTTCCTCATTATCACTTTTTACAAAAACATTAAGCAATAATATACTATAACTAGAAAGCCAACTTCAGGCAGTAAAAAAATTTATATACCCTCGATAAACGTTTCTTGAACATTTACAATTTTTAGAATGCTTCCTATTTCAAATTATATGCAATTACTTTTAAGACTAGTTAGGAATAGTTATTCTTCCCTGACGGACTTAAGAACCTGATTATTATAGTAAATACAATTGATATAAAATCTTGTCGAGGGTATATAAACCAAATAAAATATTAGTAAAATCAATAAGCTTCAACACACACAGCTTTTGTAGACGGAATAAATGACTTGCACAATTAAAAAAAAAAAAAACAGAAATCAGTTAACAAATCTACGAAACGAACATTAAAACATTTAAAAATATGTATATAAACTGGAAAAAATTTGCTTAGCATTGCTAAAGTGACATTCATTAGTAGGTACAATCAGCTCAGTAACTTGGCCATTAGGATTGTTAGATTTGCAATTCGAGTATTAGGAGAAATTCGTTGTTGTTTTTAGCCATTCCATTAACGGCATGCAGCAGATCCGACTCACGTGGTGCGCGTCTCCTCATCCGAACTGCGCCTGCAAAATAACAAAGTTTGTCTTAAATACTTTGTTGCATTTAAATATGTACACCTATACTAAACCATAAACAAAAGCTTAATCGTACAAACCAGGGACCGAATCTAAGCGTTATTGATTAAACTAAAAAAACATAATTCTTAATTTTTAAAGTTATCCGTTTCGGTATCTGTGTAACAGAAAAATGTTTAAAACACATAAAAAAGACTTACTCTTAGTCTTCAGCCGCAGAGGTTTCTTTTTTTTTTGATAAAAACAGAATGTTCACAATTTGCATGCAAAATGAAAAATCACAGCGGCGAGTGGAGTAATTAGTGACTCCAAACGTACCTGGGCTCCTCCTGATTATTGCGCATGGCCAAGGTGGCCACTTCGAAGAGGCCAATGAAGAAACAGAGCATTAGTGGCCCAAATATGGCACCCTGCCAACCAATCCAATACATGCCGCCAGCGATGGCCAGCCCATTGAGATATGGATGTCCGCCACTAAAAATATATATATAATTTTAAAAGTAGTTCACAATTGAATCTAATACAACTTACCCCTTTAGATCCGCATAGATGGCCGTCTCAAAGGACGAGGGCACAAAGAATTGTAAGAGGAAGAGTATCAGGCCCGCATAGAAACGATCCTGAGCCAGCCACAGCTCCAGGAAGGCGGGCACCGCACACCAATAGCTGCCCAAAAAGGGAGCCGCTGCGAGCAGAGCAGCCAATGCAGAGGGCAGGAAGACAATGCGTGCTCCGAACACCGTATGCACCAGCCATGTGAAGAGGCCCGTAAATGTGGAGCACTTGAACATGGAGACGAGCACCACCGTAATGGAATTCTCCAAGGCATCAGCCACCTTGATGCCGGACGCAGAGTAACCCATATATTTGGTTATCTGCATCGGCGCATATTTCTCCTGGCTAGCCGTGAGCAGATAGAACAAAGCGGTGAAGAACACGATCTGAAGTGGGTAAATAGAAGAGATGTATATGAGATGATATTTCTATGTATATTGTTACTAACTGGAATGAATCGACTTGGTGTGGGCCTACTCAATTTGTGTTTATATATATATTTTTTATTCAATTATTCTTTATTCTATTTCAAAAGTAATAAATTTAAATTCATTCTGACGAAACTTTAAATCATATATAAGATGCATTTAAATGTAGAAATATTCTTATATCTGAGAACTAGAATATGATGCAGACAGTGCAAAAAGATAGACAGACAGACAGACGGAATTTAGTAGATCTTTCCGGTGCCAAACGATACCAGGTGTTCAGGGTATAAGCACCACAATATAAATTCTCAATCAACCGTAATTATCGATATTCAATTCAGTTCTTACCATATCCAAAATGAACTCAATGCATGCCTGTCCGCCCGACAGCAGCAATGAGAGAATTTCGCCTGTAACGCCCATGATGACGGAGATATTGGTGCGTATGATGTGCCAAAGGGATTCGGCTACTTCGAGGATTGTCTGCGTATTGCTCTGCGCCCAGCCAATGATGCCCTGTTTTGCCACTAAAACTAGCTCTTTAAAATGTCCTTTGTTAAAATAAAATCGTTTGTTAGCCCAAGCAAATGCAATGAGTTATTTCTTTGACGCATACGAAAATCAAACAAGATGTGGGATTAGGCAAAACCAAAAAAAAAATAAATCAATATGCGAGTTAGAAGCTCAAAAAGAACTAAATAAAAATCAATAAATAGCTCAAAACATACAACAACGAAAAACACGTTGGACAAATGAAAGAAATCGAAAGTATAAAAACCAAAACCGGTATTAAAACTTACCTGGATTATCGACAATTTCACCAAAGGTGCTCTTCAGGGCATCTGTGGGTACTCGTGGACCATATGAAGTGCCCGCCTTATTGAAATCAATCCAATACTGGATGAGCCTGTCCCAGACATCGAGAATTTGCTCCTTCAGCTTGGTCGCATGCACTTTGTCCGCATCCACGAGCCAATCATCAATGTAGGTCTCAATCTTACGTCGTCCATAATGGTGCGCATTATCAAGCGCATCATCAATGGACGCTTGTATATTGGCGGGCAAAATATCAATTAGCTCAGGACGATCGGTGATTGTCTTGTTAATTAGATCTTTGCCCAAATACGCGACCTCGATTGTCTCTGAATAGATGTTGACACAAAAGAAAACACTCAGAAACACAATAATTAACAGCATGAGTATAATCATTATAATGGACGTGACCGACTCCACAGATGACTTCAGCGAATCTCGCACAATGCTATTGACCTTGTAGTTCAGTTCGAGGACACCAGGGAGGCACAGCGGTAACACTGCCGAATGATGTTCCAAAGCCCAAGACTGCAAAATGATGAAAGTTAATAAATTTGGAGGATTGAAATGGTCGGAAGTTTATGATCAGTATATAAACTGGATTCCTGATTTACTTCGAAGCATTTCTTTTGTATTTTTATACTCTGGTAAATCGAGTGTCATATAAACATATCGAGTTAATCAAATACGTATCAAATTTATAAGATCGACCCTGACATCTATTACCAGTCTCCCAACAAAGTCTAAGATGATAAATTTACTTACTCTCAATGCCTGATATCCATCGTTAATTTTGCCGTAAACAAACTGAGTAATTCCCGTATAGCTGCCGAGTTTATACAGTAAATGGAGCAGCACTGGAACCGCTGCCAATATGAACATCCAAATGTTGCGATACAGAAATGTGCCCAGACAGGCATAGAACAACAGTTTGAAATAGGTATCGCTCTGATGAGCGTCCGCCTCCTCGGCCGGCTTGTCATCGAATGTGTCCTCTGAGCCGAGAGTGTCACTCAACGATATGTCCTCCACGTCCGATTGCAGTCCGCTTGGATCGCCACCAGCTTTGCGACAGATGCTCAGATTACTCAGCGATTTCTCAAAAGCATTCTTGTCGAACAATTTGTACACACGATCCATATAGGAGCTAGTGTCATGGTCATCGCTCGTCTGTAAATGATACGCCGTTGAGACGCAAACGTAGCCCATCACCAGCAGAAAGACGGGCACTTGAAGAGCGCCCAAAAAGCTGCACAAATAGCCAGCAATGGCTATCCACATAGTTTGGCCAGCGATAACGAAATGCGAGCTATTCTCCGGTTTCCAGAAAAAGTGCACCGAAGACAGGTAGAGAACAATTAAAAGGATGAGCTGTGGAGGAATAAAGAGAGGAAGAGATGAGATGGAGGCCTCACAGAGTCCCTTAATATGATTACAACACTAACCACATAGACATTGAGAAATCCAATGATGCGCACAAACAATCCATGCGAGAAGGTCAACCAAGACCAGAGTGCAAAAAGGAATCCCTTTGGCGCATATAAAACAAGCAGCTTTATGCAAACAGCGACGCCGCAGCCTGCGAGGAGGAGTTGCCAATGCTGGCAGAGCCAATTGATGAGCATGCGTCCGCAGTGTTCGGTGGCTTCCAAAGGAGCTAAACAAATGGCGACAAGCACATTTGAATCGCGGTCCTCCAACCGCTGAAACCAGTTGTTTAACAGCTCGGCCAGCTTGCGCTTGAAGGGATACAAGACTGCGCCCATGAGGAATGCCCAGAGCAGTGGACGCACAAAAGGTCCCAGGATAAAACAGACTGCGACAAAAGCAGCCACGCCCGCTGCAATCAAAAAGTTGTACATCGCAGCGCGAATACTCTCCTGATTCTGGCTGCGCATCCTTAGTAGGCGATTTAGAACGCTATCAAAAGAGCGATCTCGCCGTATGGGAATGGAGTCCGAACGGTTCATGACGAGGTCAGATGATCTGGGAATCTACAATGAATCGCAACAAATTAGTCAAAGGCGTTGGCCATCTGTTTCGGGCACGCCCGTATTTTTGGTGGCAGTATTTTTAGCAAAATGACGAAACTTACAGATATTATTGTTTTAATCTCAAATTGAGGCAATGACAGCTTCTTTGCATTGTAGGGATAGGGTTATGTGTATATTTTCGTGGTTAAGGGCTGAGGTAGGTGCCGGCTTTATAATTTTATAGAATCATTGACAATAATTTCACTTCAACTTGGCACATAAACAATAAACAGACTTGTTTATCTCTATGGGCAAATGACGTCAGCTGATGACGCCGTTGATCGTTATACAACACTAACAAAACATTTAAAAACGAGCCAAAGACAAAAAATAAGTTAAAATTACTTAATGGAACTATTTAACTATTCAAACTTTTATTTATACATTTTCACACAACTTTCTTTTCAATTAGGTTCATAAACAAATACGCCTTTTTTCTATACGCAAATGACGTCAGCTGTTCACGCAGTGCTGTTGTCTGTCCCAGAACATGTCGTTTTACAACACACACAAACATTCGAAAAGAAGACGCCAAGACTGAAAAGAATTAATCACTATGAATAGTGAGTACAAATAAATAAGAAAATTATATGGAAAATATTAATTATTTTGTGTAGAACTAACCCTCCAGCAGGTTCACACTTTGCGGAAAGCTCAGGAGGAATTGAATGACTGCAAGGCCAGTTACTTAAAATTCTACCCAAAATTAGCCAAACATATTTACACCGCGGATCTGAATAATTTGGTGAGTAAATAAGTGTTTTTTTTTTGTATACATGAATATTTAAATGAAATGCCATGCTATATGTATTTGCAGATACGTAGTGAATTCAGCCGACTGGATGTTCAGTTGAATATACCCAAATTGCCCGCACGGAGCGCACAAGAGGAATACACACCGTTGTTACAGGTAAACATAAATATTTATTAACAGTCTTTGGTTTTTTGTTGTTGTATGTGATTAACATTTACTATTTTATATAGGTGGATAGAATGATCGAGCTTTACGATGCAACAGTTGAGGGCTCCTCCCTACTGTGAGTTGGCTGCGATCTATTTGAATTATTATTAAGCCAATAGCCATGTAAAATGCGTTGAATATGCTGCAAACACTCAAAGCAGGGCGAAAGACACTGCAAAAGGATAAAAACATTTGTCAACAGTTGTGGAACGAAAGGTCGCGACACTTACATGGAACATTGGGATAATGGGCCGCTCCTTGAACAAGTTGCCTTTGGTGCGCAATATGAGCATGTATTTTATATCCAACTGTGAATAGATATATTTTAATAAATCTTAAGAATATTTGTGCAGCAGTTAAACGCACATTTTCGATGACTTCATTGAGAACCATGTCATGCAAATGACCCCGTTGCACACAAAGGACCGTTTGCCGGCCAAAAGTGCGAATTGTCTCTGTTTGGAGCGCCATGTCCCAACTGTAAAATAATCGCTCCGAGTGCACCAGGCGAAGAGTGTTGCGAAATATTAATAGAACTACAGCTAAGCACAACAATGCTGGATATAGAATGTGAGCTTGTCTCAGGGTAACGGATCCTTCGCTCCACCTCACAGCAAAGGCAAAATAAACAATCGCCAAGCTAATCATAAATAGAAAACGTTTTAGTTGCGCTCGACACTGCTTGCCGTGCAATCGATTTAGTAGCTGTATGCGGACAACATCATCGCCGTATTTCTGTATGGTCAGCTCCAAATCCTCCTCTTGGCTGCCCTTGTATTTGGCTGATATGCTAAAATATCTGTGCTTTGTCGGTTCCATTATCAATTTGTTTTTAATTGAACAAATAAATAAAATTGACAAACAGCAGCCAACGGCACTAGCTGAAGTTATTTTGCAGCACTGTTCCAAGAAGTGGTCATACTTTTGTTTACATTTTTGTGCATCGATAGATTTGGGCACATCGATTACACTGTATCGATGTATATAAAAAACAATATGGCGTCGCAATAGCACAAAAATCGTCGTCGTCTCGGTTGGAACAGCGTCCGTTCCGCGAAAAAAATTGTAAAATTACAGTTCAACCGCAGCATATGTGGTAAATAAGGTGTTGGAAACAGTAAATATGCGCAAACGCAAATTATATATACTCTGAACGATTGTGTAAAGGCGCAGCCAAACAGCATAAACAAGGAATTGCAACGTGAGTGCATACACAATTTTTTTTTCCGTCAAGATTCAATATTACCCCTCGCGCTTTCGCTTACACCGCTCTTGCCCTCTTGCGGCTTCTCTGTCTCTGAGCGTGTACGTATGTGTGTGCGTGTGCGTTAAGGTGTGCATATGTATTTTCGTGTGTAACTATATTTGATATTCTAATGGACTTCTAAATAGACAATTAGTATTATTATTAAAGACTTGTGAAGCTATGCGACTTTTTTGTAAATTTGCTGGATGTAATTTGTTTTCATTTATGTGGAGTGAAACTTGTACTTTATGCAACAAACGATTGTCGAGTTGAGTTTTTGGTTCTTCTATTTTGTAGTGTGTTGAATTTGGAGGATTTGCCGCTGTTACATGTGGTGGATTTTGCGCTCTCTCAGTGTGTGCATGTGTGTGTGTACGTGACGGTCTCTGTGTGGTTTGCTTGGTGTGTGTTGTGTGTACCCGTTGTTTTTATAAATTTTCCTGTGCGCCTTCAATTTGATTGAAAACGTAAAAAAACCGCAGATAAAATGGTGTTAACGCAAATCAAAACATCTTGCCAAATAATGCATGCGTCATTTAAATTTTGAACGAGACTTCGTTTGTGTGTGTGTAGCGTAAACGGCAATTTTCTTTTGGCATGCTCTTTGTGAGATATACGCTGCAATTTCTTGCAATTCTGTTTTGTGCTTGTCATTCGCAATAATTTAGTGAATGAACACAAAAGAGATGGCCGAAAAACGATGTACTCACTAAAAGGCCGTAATGTGTGTGTGCGTGAGCGTATGTGTGTGTGTGTGTGAGTATTTCGTCAAGAAAATTGAATGTCAAAATCGAATTTTTTTTTCCGCATTCAAGTTTTTCGAAATATGTTTTACGTTTGCACACAATTTACTTTTTGCCCACCCCAAAAAATGTGCATGCGAACCCACGCACACAAACACACACAGATGCACAAATACTTGCAAGCGCGCGTATTCCTTTTTCGTTTTCATTTTCTTCCAGCTTTTTGCGGACCATTCATTATGAGTGAGATCCATCACACACACATCCGCATACATACAATCACATACACACAGATACAGAATCATGGCGCATTGTCACTGTCCTGTGTATATGCTTTTTATTTCATTTTGGTGGGCTTATGCATATTTTTCTTTTTCCTATTCCTGTACAACTATAGTCGGAAGCGCCTCCAGCCTCGCCCCTTTTGTTTGTGTCAACTGCAGACAGCGTCAATATTTTTAATTAGGTTTTTATTGCGAGTGTGTTTGTCTTTTTTTTTTTGACAGCGCTCTCCCGCTCCCAATTTCAATACGACAATGAGCAGTGCTGTCAAACGGCGGACTTAGACTTAATTTGAACTCTGTTGCTGGGCGACAGAAAGTGTTTTTTTCTTGTGAATGTCGTTTGCAGAAGACTTTTTGACCAAATTAAACTTCGCTGTTCTTTGGTGTTCTATTAATGATCCTAGGCGCATATATTTTTAGTTTTGCATTTATTTTTAAGACTTTCATTGAGTTGAGATTGCGTAAACGTGTTTCAATGGCAGCATTTGTTTTTTTTTTTTTAATTTGTGCTTTTGTTTTGATACGCATTCGCTGGTAATGGCGCCCTCGTTCAGAAATCTCTATCACAGATTAGTGCTTTATCAGTGTTTGCAATCGTTGAAATTGTTCACGTTCCTTTACTTAATAAATGAGTGTATGTGTGTGTGCAGCACTATTATTATTTATTGGCCATTTATTTTTGTCACTCTTAATAGAAAACATAATTTTATGTGTGTGCATAAAAATGCATGCACTCGCAAATGGAAACAAGCCTAAATATTTATTCAGCCTTGGCGCCACATGAAACGTTTTAGCGAACTGGCCAAAGGTGAAATTCCACAGTTTCCTCTATCGATGACGTAGACCTTGTCGCTGTATTTTTTGTTCTGTTCTGTTTACACACACACATTTTTTTTACACTTGCTACTCATTGATTTTTGCTGTATAATGCGTACGTCTTACGCTGTAGCAACAGTGTTTGTATATACACATAGTAGATGTATATGTGTGTGTGAGTGTGTGCTTGTGTGAGTTTGATAATCTAATCTTGTCTCCGCAAATTTGGCCCCGCCAGCCGGCAGTCCCCCTCCTCCAAGCCCACCTCCAAAATGCTGCATACATATAAAAACGTACTTGCACTCTCTCGTGCACACGGCTCGCTCTCTCGCTCTCGCTAGTTTGTTCTGACCACTCCGCTCACTTTGTTTGTTTTTGTCGCGCGCGTGTTTGTGCTCGTCGTCGTTGTGGGTCGCTTTGGCGAAAGCGGGATAATAGTTTGCGAATGTGTAGACATCAGAGACATGAGAAAAACATCACACACACACACATAGAAAAACTAACGATGGTGCATTGTGTAGAGATTTTAAATAGTTTTATTATTTTCAGCGACTGTTTGTAAACATTAACTTTTTATCATTTCTTTTTTGGCAAGTACCTTGTGTTGTGTATACATACACAACTGCATATGTATGCTCCCAATATCGAAACGTAGCTTTCACATTTTCATTCATGTTGCTGTTTTGCATCTTCTGTTTTGATACGCATTTATTGTTATCGTCTTTTGTGTGTGTGTGTGTGTGTGTGTGTGTGTGGGGAAAATGTTGTGTATGGGAATTACTCATTATGATTGGAAGACTGCATAGTGTTGTAAAACAATGGAAGAAAAATGTACTCAAAAAAGATATCGATATTGTCAGTGACTCAAATTGATCAAGAATGTAAACAATAATAACTTTGCACGATTCTAATTAGTAAACGTTAATGAGAAATATGTTTAAGGTGCTTATTTTCTTCTAAAATCTGTTCCAGTTTTGTGCGTAGGCCTCAAATCATCGCCTAAAATAATAACATGGATAAACAAGTCAAGCGTAGAGATTAGTCGAATGCTTTGAATTTCAAATTCAATATCCTAATTAAATTGTAATAGTCTATAGTAGACTGGAGGACACCAAGCGCGGCTACAAGCCAAACAATAACAACGACAAAAAGGCACAAATATAAACAACTTGAAAGTGTTGTGCAACAACTAAAAAAAAGAAAGAAAGAAACAATAAGAAAAACCAAAACAAGAAAAGAAGAGGACAACAAAGTTAAAGCCAAACGATGACGACTGACACCCGCCGACGTGTTAAACTGTACGCTTTGAATGCGGAACGGCAATGGGATGATCGTGGAACTGGCCATGTCTCCTCCACATATGTGGAGCGACTCAAGGGCACCTCGCTGCTGGTGCGAGCCGAGTCCGATGGCTCCTTGTTGTTGGAGAGCAAGATTCAGCCGGATACCGCCTATCAGAAGCAACAGGATACGCTGATTGTCTGGTCGGAGGGCGATAATTTTGATTTGGCGCTCAGTTTCCAGGAGAAGGCCGGTTGTGACGAGATATGGGAGAAGATATGTCAGGTTAGTAGCAATTAACTTCTTAAATCTATGAAACGTCCTCATATCTATTGCCTATTGCCGTCTACAGGTACAGGGCAAAGATCCATCAGTGGAGATTACCCAGGACATTGTGGAGGAATCTGAAGATGAACGTTTCGAGGATATGTCGGACACAGCACCGCCCATTGAGTTGCCGCCGTGTGAACTCTCCCGGCTCGAGGATATATCGGAGACAATACAAAGCTGTTTGTCGACGCCGTTGCGCAAGGAGAAGTTGTCCATGGCTCTGGAATCGGAGAACTACATCAAGAAGTTATTGAATCTGTTTCATGTGTGCGAGGATCTCGATAATACAGAGGGATTGCATCATTTATTCGAGATATTTAAGAATATTTTCTTGCTTAATAAGAATGCACTATTCGAGATCATGTTTGCCGACGATACCATTTTCGATGTGGTTGGTTGCCTCGAATACGATCCAAGTGTGGCACAGCCAAAGAAGCATCGACAGTATCTGAAGCAGTGGGCAAAGTTTCGTGAAGCAGTCCCCATCAAGAATCTAGATCTATTGGCCAAAATTCATCAAACATTTCGGGTGCAGTACATACAGGATATTATATTGCCAACGCCATCGGTTTTTGTCGAGGATAATATGTTAAACACGCTGTCGAGTTTTATATTCTTCAACAAAGTTGAGATTGTTACGCTCATCCAGGAGGACGAACGTTTTTTGGTCGATGTTTTCACCCTGCTCACCGATCTCTCAACCAACGATGCCAAGCGACGCGATATTGTCCTCTTTCTGAAGGAGTTTTGCAATTTTGCACAGAATTTGCAGCCGCAGGGCAAGGACTCGTTCTACAAGACGCTCACGTGCCTGGGCATTTTGCAGGCCTTGGAGCTGACGTTGGTCATGAACGACAGCAAGACCAAGTCGGCCTCCATCGATATACTCACGGCCATTGTGGAGTTCTCGCCGCTTGTCGTGCGCAACTACACCCTGAATCAAGCCAATCGACCGGAGGGCGTAAGTTGAATTAATATCTAATTTTGTTTGTTTTTTTGTCTATAGCTGATTTGGTTTTTGATCTGCGTGCATTTAGGATCGTATGTTGCTAAACATTTCCATTGAACAAATGTTGAACGATTCGGAACCGGAGCTGGGCATTGCGGTGCAGTTGATGGGCATCATTAAGATCTTGCTGGAGCCGGAAAATATGCTGACTGAGAAGGGCGATTTTCTTAACTTCTTCTACAAGCACAGCGTCCAAACGCTAGTTGGTAAATAGCGCTTTTCAACTGAACAACTACAAATTGGAATTGTCCAGAAACTATAATTTTAAATGCTATTTATGAAATGATTTTTATAAATATTATTGCTGGATAAGTTCTAATTTACCAAATCCATCCACTGTGTGCAAGAGAATGAATTACATGATTTATTATTTTAAACAGCGCCTCTGATGCTCAATACGATGGGCGATCGTCCTCTGAACGAGGATTACCAGACTGCACAGTTGCTTGGCATTGTGTTGGACATCTTGTCATTTTGCGTCGAACACCATAGCTATCACATTAAGAATTTCTTGTTGCAAAAAGATCTCCTCAAACGAATCCTGGTGCTGATGAAGAGCACACACACGTTCCTTGTACTCGGTGCCCTGCGGTTGCTGCGCAAGATAATTGCACTCAAAGATGAGTTTTACAACAGGTGAGTAGTAATTGTAATAAGTAAATAAATATGTCTAATTAATTATGCATAATTTCCAGACACATTGTCAAGTGCAATCTATTTGCTCCCGTTGTGGATGCCTTTATTCGTAACAATGGTCGCTATAATCTGCTCGAATCGGCCATTTTGGAATTATTTGAGTTTATAAAACTCGAGGATATACGCACATTGTGTGTATACTTTGTGGAAAACTTTAGCAAGATATTTGATGAAATCGAATATGTGCAAACATTTAAATACCTAAAGAACCGTTACGATCAATATCAGGATCGGCTCAAGGATCGCGATAAGTTGGAAAATCGCACCGATGGGTAAAGTATTTCTCAATAACTGCAATGAATCAAATGCATATATAATTCTTTGATTTTGTTATTCAACGCTTTCTCAGAACTCTGCCGAGGATACGAAGTGGTGGACGATTTTGTCGCGATCAACGTCAAATGGAGGAGGAGGAGGAGATGTGGTTCAATGAGGAAGATGACTTTTCCGAGGAAATTGATAGCTACAACAATGTCATAAAAAGTAAGTAAAATAGTACTCAAGGAAGAGCTAGATAAATTACATTTGGAGTAAATACACACATATCTGAACAGGAGATTGGAGCTGGAAATTTAATTAAAAAGAAATAATCTTATTTCCCATTGATTTTCATTGTAAATTGTCACTTTTTGTGTGGAACGCTCTTCCTCCGTAGCCGTCAGCGAAAAGAATGGCCCGCTAACACAGAACCAGTCGCCGCAGCAGAAATCACCGCCGCACAGCACATCACCGCACGGTGGTGGACTGTTGGGCAATTTGAATGCGACGGCGACACCAACTGCCACCTCATCAGTATCAGCTGCCGCACCGGTGGCAAGTGGCAGCAGCAGTCCCGAGCCGTCGTCGTCGTCGTCTGCAGCGGCAGCAGCAGCGAGCAGCATCGATGAGCAGACACAGGCCGCAGTGCAGCTGGCAGCAGCTGCAAATATTGCACTGCAACAACAACAGCAGCAGCAGCATTCATTCCAGCAACAGCAGACGTTGTCCCTGAATAGCACACTTGTTGCAGCAGCAGCTGCTGTTGCCGTCGCCTCCACATCGAATGCGGCTGCTGCGGCGCAGCTGGAAAGCCAACAACAACAACTGCAACAGCAACAGTCTCAACAGCCCGAGATTGCAGAGCTGCAGCAGCAGCTGAGCGCGGTGGTGATGCCACAGACACAGGAGCTTCTGCTATCGGCCACAACAAGCTCATTATTGTCGTCATCGTCATCGTCCTCGTCTTTGTCATCACCAACAGCGTCATCTGCATCGGCAATGGATGTTGCGTCCACGTCCTCATCATCATCAGCATCATCACCATCACCATCAGCAGCAGCAACAACATCATCATCGCCAACATCCGCTGCTGCACTCTGCGATTCGGCGACAGTGGCCGCTGTGGCAGCATCTCAATTTCTAACAACGATTGCAACAGCCATGGCTGCCTCGGTGACGGCGGCAGCTAGCACGCCCAACACCAACAACAACAACTTGACGTCACCGACTGCTGCTGCCGCTGCAGTGTCTTTGCCTGTGCCCATTAACTGTGCCGACAGCGACAGTCAGACACCGCCAGCCGCCACAGATGACAGCGATGCGCTCAAAATCGATGCCGATGGCGATGGCGATAAGGTGGGGGCGACCAGCGTAGATGCGTCAACAGGCAGCGATGCGGATAAGGCGACCAAAAAGGTGAGATATTCATAACAACGAGAATCAACATTACTTCAAATTGTGTGTGTGTCCTTATCTGCTTAGCTGGGACTGGTGGACTATGAGAGCGATTCCGGTGAGGATGATTACGAGGAGGATGATGACTTGGATGGGCCCCAAGCACAAAAGCGCGCGCGTATCGCATAGACAGGAGGAGCGTTCTTTGGCAAACAGCGGCGGCATCAATTATAAGCTAGACTACACCCACACATAGACACACAAACTTCTGTCTCTCACACACACACACACTCACAGCTACACCTACACACACACAAACACACACGAATGTAAGGGTTGGAATAAAGTGGGCGCGACAGCTGGGCAGCACCAACAACAGCAACAACAACAATTTATAAACACGGCAGACAGCGGTACGATATAAGATCGAACAAACAAAGAAAAGAGAAAAAAGAGAGTTAAAATAGAGTTCGGGTGTTTTGCTTGCAAGCAATCAATGTAAGAACAAGCAAAAATCGTAAAATTAATTTTTAGTCTAAACCATTTATTTTAAAGAAAACAGAAAAAAAAACAAAAACAAAAACAAAACAAAACAGAAACCTACAAAGTAAAACAAGAAATTATAAAATCTTACTTTACTAAATTAAAAAAAGAAGAAAAAAACAATATATATATATATATAAATATATATATGTTAAAATGAATATAACTTATAGGGTATAAATATTATATGTGCACACAAAACGAAAAGAAAAAAAAAAACAAATACCAATTGATCAACAACAACAAAAAGAAAGAAAAATACACATTTATTGCCGTTGCAAAAAAGTGTGCGTTGTGTTTTGAGTGCTTAAAAACATAAGCAAGAAACCAAAATAAATCTATATATATATGAATATATATATATATATAACTAAATAAAACTAAACAAAATACCAATAGCAGAAATACAGAAAAGTAAATCAGTGTCTAGATCCGTTAAGCGGGGTGCTTGAGTTGTGTGTGCCAAGAACGCTCGCTCGCCAAGCTCACAGAGAAAGAGAGAGTTGCGAACCGCCCTCGAAGAAAAAACCAGGCTTGTCTAGTTGGCTAGCGTGCAGTTGATGTTGTGTGGAAGAAGAGTATTAAACATTTTTTTGTGCAATATCCTTTTATTGTTGTGGGTATTTTCAAAGGCAATTGTTTATAACTTTTGGCTGTCAAAAGCCGATGCAGAAAAACAATTGGCAGCATTTGTTAATTTAACACAAATTTAGTAAAAGCTCGCCTTGGACACATTTATATCCATGCACCAAATTAACCGGCTTCGTAATTTATAATATTATATTTATTAAGAATAATGTTAATTATTGTAAACCTTATTTAACTTTCAGTCAAACATTAATTACTCGGCTGATCATGCTGATTACAAATTTGAATTTCTTGTATTTCAACAGCTTTTGCCCAGAATATTTGGCAAAAGTTTGAAGTGATAAGAGTTGAAAGCTTCAAAATTTGCTTAGATTATTTAGGATTATAATTGCCTATCAATATGCCCACAACTATATATATACCCATAGCCAACTAAACAAATTTGTTGTTTTGTGCATTCACAATTTTTAGCCATATGTAAAACTCACTTTACATAAAACAAATAATAAACCTTGTATATAATTTAGCGTTATCCCTTATATCGAATTACAATACATGCTACTTATAATGAAAAAACTAAAACAAAAAAAAAAAGAAAAGAAAAACATGTGCAGCAGCACCATTTTGGATAATAGTTTTTGGGGAACTGCGACAATTTGTAAAATTGCTAAAGGGGGACATTTTTCTAGACAAAAAACACTTGAAGAACAAATCTAAGCAGCGAACTGTTTAATTTGTTAAGCAATTAAATGCTGCAACAACATTTGCATTCAACACAGACACACACACAACACACATCAATAACAAAAACAACAACAATAATACTAATAATGATAATTAACACAAAAATAGCAAGTAAAAGGTTTAAAATAGAAAAACATTATGCAAAACAAAAAAGAAACCAGAAAAGTCTTCTTTGCGTTTTCCATCGATAAGTTTTTTTGTTTAGTTTAAAATACTTCTTAATATGAATGTAGTTAATGGACATCTCCACACACAAAACAACAAACAAAAAAAAAAAAAACAAAAAAAACAGCAGCAGCAGCAACAAGAAGAAATACAAAAATAATAATATCCGAAAACCACAATAAAGTTATTTGTTAATAATCGTATTTTTTGCCATTGTGCATTGTGTGAGCAACAACTTTTTCACATATTTATTTTAGTTAAGTTTAGTTTCAACCTGCAAAATGGTTTCCCTTCTTAGAGCAGTTGACACAAACACAACCCCCCAAAGCGATGAGTGTATGTGTGTGTGTGTGTTTGTGTGTGTGTTGTGTGGCAAAAACAAAAAGCACACACATAGACTTAAAATATACTTATTACATAAATATATATCCTTCCATGTTGTTGTTTTTGTTTGATTAACTTGAACTGCAACAATAAAAACAAAATAATAAACATATTGCATAATACAAGATAACAAAAATCAAAAACAAAAAAAAACAACTAGTATTTATATGTAAACAATGTGTATTGTATTGATATGCTGTCTAACCCCCTTAATCCTAACACACACACACACATACACATACAACTACATACATATATACATACATACATACATACGATACCTAACGTATACATAAACACATACATATATAATTTGAAACATCTCTATATTATGATTCGAGTAAATTAAATCATAGTTTTTAATAGTTTTTAAACAACAGAAACAAAAACAAAAAAAAAAAAACAACATAAATGGCAAAACTTTTAATGAGTATTACTGAAATCGGTGGGTTGTTGCTGATGGGTGGGGTTTATTGTATTTGATTACCATGACAACCACTTCAAGGACCAAACATTTCGACAAAGGAAAAGCTGACGACATTTAGCACTTGTACTTTGACGAGGTTTATGTCAATCAATTGAAAATGGCTGCTGAAGATTCGTGGGTCTTTGATTCTCTCGTCTGTTTCCTGCATGGACCAGTTTGGAATGCGCCACTTCAAACTTTTATCGAGCAAAAGTCCTTGGGTAGGAGCTGAACACAGCCACATAATATTTTGTTGTTGCTTATGCATTTTTGTTGCGGCAGTCTTCGATCCGAATTTGCAGCTGGATGAGAACAATGAAGATATAAGACAAATCCACGAGGAATACAAGAATTTGGTGGACTTTATGCTGGGCAGCTTTATGGAGGAGATGCACATAACACCCGAGCAATTTGAGCTGGCTTGCCTGGAGGGGCGCCAGCAAGGTCCGGGTGAGAATCCATTTCAGTTTCATCAGGTGCTCTTTCAGCAGGTAAGTTTGTAAGTTTAATAAGATTAATAAGATTTGTCTGACGAGCTGCACTTTAGATATGGGCCGCCAACGATTTGAAAATCTTTATACGCATGATGACGCAACGGAATGTGGAGCTGCAGCTGCAGGCACTCGATCTCATTGAGAAGCATCAATTGGCACGCATCTCCTCCGCGGAGCTGGCCGAAGATGAGAAGAGCGCAACGGGCTCAGCGCAGGGGTAGGTCAAAAATGATACAAAAATAACTCTTCCATATAAATTCAACATTGAGGAGACTAAACACCATTTTCTATTCCAGTGATGCTGTTGCCGAAGTGGAGCAACTGATTGCTAAAACTGTTGCGGATGAGCTCGAAAGTCCAGAGGCAGCGCTGACGCCCGAGCAGGATGGTAGCCTGGAGCTGGTCAACGATAAGTTTCAACGCTTGAATCTCTTCTTCGAGCAGGAGGACAAGGTAGATCCCAATGATGTCGTCTCTCGGCAGGAGTACCTGCGTCAGCAGCGCGACAAGATTGTCGAGATCAAGAAACAAACGCGCGCCAAGCAGCTGCAGGATACAGTGGCACGCAGCACGCCCGGAGCACGTCCCAGTTCCGCGCAGGTGGCGCAGCAGCTGCTCGAGACGCCGGAGCTGGCGCTGCCTCCAGCGTCAGTGGATGAGGCCGAGAATACGGCGCTTCAACTGCGACGTACGCTGGCCAAACGTCTGCGCAACGAGGTCGTCGAGCACAATTAGAACAGCAATTTAAAGAAGGCTACTTTTTCCATTTGCGTTTAATTATTATTGCAAGCTTTCAACGAAGTGCGTGTTGTGTCTATTTACCATATTAGCTGACTAGTTTGCTCTCTGGACTGGCACACTCAGAGAAAAAACCCGATTCTAAATTAGTAACATTTTGTGGTACAGAAAATTCGTGCTCAACTTATTTAAAAACAATCTTACATTCTGAAATTTTAATATAACCAAAAGAACATTTGATAAACATTTGTATAGAATTTTGCACTTTGTCCGGATTTTAGCAATGTTTCTTTGTTGTTGTCTTGACTTTTTTTCTGAGTGTACAGGTTAATTGGTACATAAGGTACTACGCGCGTATGGCGCCCACACACACATACACACTCACACATCCACAACATAGGCAGTGCTGTGTGGCATGTGTGGGTGGGCGCTACTTTAATTTGGTTAAGCTTTTTGTCTCATAATCAACACAACAATAATAAATGAAAATAGCGCTTAGAACATGCGCTAAATAAAACTGGGCTATACATATATATGAAATATTGCTTCAAATTGGGATGCGATCACGCAGGTACGACATTATGGCATCGGTGCCCTTCATCAAGATCTGATGACGTGGCTGGCGAAATGGATTACCCACCAGCTCCAAGTGGCTGCAAGTGGAATATATATCAAAATGGATGCTCAAAATTGAAAAGAAGAATGCTTTCAGCTTACGTAATATTTGTTAGATTGCCGAGAATGGGCGGTATAAATTCGATATCATTATTGCGCAAATCGAGTGTGCTCAGGCGTGGCATACCCTTTAATCCATCCACATTTAATGCCTTAATGTGATTCTCGCTGGCAATCAATATCTCGAGGCCCTGCAACTCATACAGTCCCTTTGGCAAGAACTCAAATCTGAATCAAATTAACGAAATCGTTAGTGGTGTAATTATAATAATGATATAACATTAGCTACCGATTATTGGCAATGTTGAGTTCACGCAGCGTATTCAGCACGCCAAACTCATTGGGCAAGTCCCTGATCTGGTTGTTGGACAAATTTAGAAATGTGATGCGAGTGAATTGTGTGATGAACGTCGGCACACTCGCGATGACATTGTGTGCGAGGACCAGCTCCGTCACCAGATTGCTCATAAGCTGCAAACTAAAACGAAAGAAATGATTGTAGTTAGTAAAAAGTTAAAATACAAGGCAAGAAATAGTTATTCTTTAAAATATACTAATTATTATGATTACCCCTGTGGCAGCGACCCAAGCTGATTGCGAGCAAAGTCCACCACATGCACATTCTCTGAGCTGGCCAGTTGAAAGACATGCTCGGGCACATTGGTCAGGTTCTCCAAATTGACAGCCAATGTACGTGTATGTCGAAGTTTGTATCTGTGTAAGATCAATATATAAAATAAGATGCATACAAATAAAAGCATTATATGTAAATCTATTGCAGCTTGGAACTTGGTGATACACTACACCAAATGTGGTTGCTCAAATGTTCTTTGTTGCACTCCCCTCATGGGCACACAGTCGGGAATGTGTTTGCCATTGAAATAGGTTTCCTGGCGAAGGGGAAACAGTGAATGCGGCATATAAGGATTATCATAGAGAAATTGATGCCGCTGCTCGAAGTCCTGTGGCATGTATTGTGGGCTTGGATTAAAGAGTGGAGAGTAAGCACCGTATTGTTGTTGCATAAACTGTTGATATTGGCACTGACATTGACAGGGATAGGAATGCATATAGGATCCTTTCTGCTGATAGCTGTTACAGCGTTGAATCATCGTTGCTGAATGGAAATAAATACTTCTCTCCGCCAACTCACCTGTCTGTCATATTGTTGGGCAGATTATTCATTGCTCCTTGACTGCCTGTTGAGGATCTGCTGCTACATGGAGCTTCCTCATCCGCACCACCCTCCTCCCTGATCTTGGCCTGGGCACGATCGTGCAACGTTTTCAAAATACGTGCCGTGCCGCATTGCAAAATATCGCGTCGGATTGTCTTAATGGGATTCCCGTCCACTTGCAGGCTTATTAAATGTGCCAACGAGGATAAGGTAACAGGCAGCACACTGATGGAATTATTGGTAAGATCCAACCGATTCAGATTGCGCATCAGGCAGATCTCGTCTGGCAGCTGTGTGATTTTATTGTCACGCAAATCAAAAATTTTTAAATGCGGCAAATTGGCGCAAAGGTCCTGGGGCACGCTCTGCAACAAAAATGTGGTTAAGTTAATTTCTTTATTTAGAGGGCAAGGAAATGAAAGCAAGGACATCTTCAACAAGTCTTTTCGTTCGTCTCAGTACTGCCAATCAACTAACCTCTATAAAATTATTACTGGCATGCAGCTCACTGAGCATCTCATTGCCCTCGAAGGTGGGCAGCTCCTTGATGTCATTGTGTTGCACGTACAAACACTCCAGCTTCCTCATGAGGCCCATGTCCTCTGGTAGGGCGATCAGATCGTTTTTCATTAGATCCAGTTTTTGTAGAGCTTTTCGCAAAGGCAACATTTACTATGTGGTATATGGAGTCCATGTTATGAGTGTTAACTTACAGCGCATATTGACAATATCGGTTGGCAGTTCCTTGATGTGGTTATTGGCCAACAAAAGCGCTGTTAGACGCACCAGAAAACCAATGCCACCTGGCACAGTGTTTATGTTATTGTTCCCAGCATCCTTGTGTAAATTGTGTTAGCAAGCATTTGATCAGTTGTTAAGTAATCAGCGAAACGGGACGAATTAGTTTCAAAGTGGTTAAGGTTAAGATTCAAAAAAAGCATTGATTAAAATCTGTCTTTTTCAAATGTTTAAGTGTGCGAATTATTTGAAAATAGCAGGTGTTTTGAATTTTCATCCAAAGTGCTGGTTTATTTATGTTTTTGAGTTTTGAGTATAATTATGGTAAAGGATGAAATCTTAATAAAATTGTATATATTTATTATATTATAATTATAATTTATAGATAGGCAAGGCAAGTGTGTAGCGATATGCTTCGAAATACTTTTATATTTACATTTTTCGAAGTACGGGGTTTAATTTAAATTAAAATAAACTATAAATATATATTGCAATCATTATTTTTAGTTATAAAAGAAAGGACATCAGGAAGTTAGAATTATTACCGAATTAAAATCAACTTAGGACTCGTTCCAAACGTCCACTGTATTTAGAATAAACAAGTTCTCCAAAGTAATGATTAATTTATTTTTTAATTTTTGTTTTTTAAATTGAAATTTGAGAAATATAAATTGCATTTTTTTTTATTTGGACAAATATTTGCATCACCATAACCGATATAAGAGAAATTTGTTAAATTACTTACCAGGAATTCCAACATATGCAAATTGCTGATATCCGGATTGAGTTCGAGGAATTCATTGTGCGATATATTTAAATGCCGCAGCTCTGGCAAGCTGTAGAACTCGGCTGGCAATTCACTTAGCTTGTTGTGGCTAAGATTCAATCGCACCAGTTTCTCCAGCTTGCCTATCTCTGGTGGCAGTGAGACTAAAGCATTGTCATGCAGCTGGAGCACGGTGAGTGTCAGCAGATTCTCAATTTTGGGTGATATGTGCGTTAGAGCATTCGAGCTCAAGTCTAGATTATTAATGGGTACTTGATTCCACCAGGCATCCTCCTCGTTGATCGACAACTTCACCAAGTCGGCCCTCTTGCTATCAGCATCCGCCTCATTAATATCATACAGCCGCTCGGGAACTGCAATCAAAAGGAGAATTAGATGAGCGTTAGATGAGATTTGGGTTGTTCGTTTAGTATCGACTACTAGGATCTTGGCTGGGCTGCGCTGCTGGTTCATCGTCCAGTTCGAGCTCATCGTCGGGATCCTCGCTTTCCAGCTCGTCACCGGATGAGGCCATTTGGAATTCACGAATCTGATAGTAGCGTCGCTGTCGCCGATGCGGACCACACATGCAAAACGATGTGAGCTGCTTCTTGCGCGTTTGCCTGGAGGACGCAATCTTGAAGGATGTTTCTGTTTCAATCAGCGGAGCGACGACACTTCTGCATGCAGCCAGCGCAGCGCACAAACTAAATGCTAAGCGTGGCGCCAACAACGCCTAGGTCGGGCTTGCGTCATGGGAAGTCTGTGCAACCGATGAGGCGTGTAATTTGTACGACGCCTTCTTTGGTCCGTTCAGGGCCAAGTTCGAGATCGAGAGCGATGGTAATCGTCATCTACATATAGAGAAACCACAAGGCGCTGCTGTCCATGTACCCGATGCCACGTTCCCCATTGAACGGCTTTTGTTCGATTGCTACCGGTTTTATCATGGATTTCCAACGATGTATTTGCTCCGCCGTAACGACTATATCACAGATGATATCAATCAGAGATGGGAACGGGAAAGCCCATTTCGATGCAGATCCATGCCCATCCCGTTCGCATCCCTAATAGCAAGCAATACAATTCATAACTGTTATACTCACCACGTGCCATTCCCTTGTTGGTTAGATTCAGGGTGCCTGTTTTGCGGGCCAGCTTCCACAGATTGTTGGACAACAGCGAATCATCCTCGTGCTTGGACCGCTCATGGAACACCGGCTGAAGCGAGTACTTCTGCCGCGGCGTTGGTCCTTGGCGTATCTTTGCAGAGCCCCGGGGTATTTTGCTGCAGCCACGCTCATTCATCTCGCAGGGCCGGCGACAGGCGTATTGGGTGTAGGAGGAGTTTCCAAAATCCAAATTGAAGTCACCACTGCAGTCCGCAGAGCTCACACAATAATTATCATCAAATTGGCTGGGGTTGGGGAAAATGGAATTGTCGCTGTCGTTTCTGTTGCTGCTGGCAAGTCGAAAAAGAATTCAGTAATATATACATATATATTTTGTTTTTAATTTTATTTTCGGCGTTGTTTTGCGCCGTTCGTCGATTTTGTTGTATGTCAACAACAGCTGATGTGTGCGTGAGGTGTTGCCCAACACTTGCAAATAAAGGTGTGTCCATGCGTTTTTCAACACCTCAACATAAACGCTTAATTAAACCAAATATAATCTAATATATAAATCAAAAGAAATGAAACGAATCATTTGAAATTGCATATTAGTATAGAGTTCCTCATATTGCCTTAATAGTCTAAGAAATAAAAGGTTCTAATTAAAAATGATTTTTAAAGACAATAATGGGCATGGCTATAGCCAAAGATGAATTCTAAATTATTTCCAAATTGTGTATATATAACTAAATTAACTATGGCAAAAAATTCTTTGTCATAAAATTTCAGTCGCCTATCGATTCTCATCGAAAATCAAGTTGCAGCTGGTCAAATTTTCAATAATTGAAAACAATTTAAATTCAATCTTAAGATGCCTAAACTAGGGCAATTCTCAAAAAGATGCACCTGCCCAGAGCTGATGAATTTAAATTGTCAGATGTAGACTTAACTTGTGGCTGTCCCACAATTGATACGATCATGAACTTAAGTCCAAAGCAAATGTGTGTATTGAACACGGGACGTATGCGCAATTTGTGTGGAGCACTTTATCCGTGGTGACGAAAGCACGGCACACTTATCATTCAAATATCGGAAATAATGCAGTTAAAAAGTTGTGAATAAATTAATATTTTTTCATATTTATATTCTGAAAATGTAGAAAACATTTTGTCTATGCTGAAGAAACAGGAATGTGAGCGTTCATTTGTCCAGTGTAGCTTATGGAGAGATGAAAGTTGTCTTTCTTACTTCAACATTGTGTTGCCATCCATTTAACTTGTTATTGTTGCACCTTGTTTTGTGGCTTCTGCAAGAGATATGAAATACAAAAAAAAAATAATAATGACGCTTTACTTGGCAGCAAGGTCAGACACTAAAAGTCAGTCAGTGGTGTGTATTAAGTTTCCCCTATTTGCATTAAGCCTATGCAAAAATGTTAGTTATAGTATTTTGCTCAATTGTCGCCGAAGCAGCAAAAATGCTATGTGCCATGTGCTATGTACAGGGTATTCTAAATTATTTGTGTTGTGTGTAACACATTGAAGCAATCATCTCCGACAACAAGAGTATTTTTTTCTTGATCAGCATAACATGTGTCTGTCTACCCAACTATTAGAATCCATATTTATAAAAGAAATGGGAAAGAATAAGTTATTTTTGGTACAGTCGGAAAACTTGTGAATATGGTTCAGATATAGCTCTATATCATATAGCTGTCAATGGAATATTCCTTTGAAATATTGCCTTGGCCATATATCATGTAATTATTAAATATATATAGATATAGATATAGCTAGACCAGGTGGAGTCAACTCTGCGAGGGTATTTAAGCGGCGGCCTGCCGAATAAAGCGGAAAATTCTTGTTTCTATTGCGACTTTTGCTACGAACATGCTTTGTTCTACGTTGAGGCTTACAAGCGACAAACAAACAACTCTGGCGACGACGAGTGTCAATCGAAATTATGAATAATACACGGGCAAATCAACTGCTCGGAGGGTCAGTTGCCTACGGTCCCCAATGTGCCCACCCTCACAGCAAGAGAACGCTTTGCATTTGGTTGGCGAGCTGCGACTGAATTGGCTAACTTGCCAGTTGTCAGTTGTCATTTGGTTTTCTAGCCGGTCGCTTCAGTTCCGTAGCATCTACTGTCAGACATTAAAGTACCTGTGATTTCCAAATTTTTTTTCTTTTCTCTCTCTCTCTTTGTCTCCCTGCAACTCTTGCGTTCCGGCAACAAACTGTTGCAATGTCAGCAAGCGTTTTTAAGAATTTTCTACGTGATTTTTTTGCGGTTAGTACAGAACAAATAATTGTGAATTTTATGACAAAATTTGAAAAAAATTATCGAAAGAAATGTGCCCAACAATTTTAATAACTTGAATTTCAAACACAGTCGAAATTTTCAAACTACACAATGAGAAATTAGACTTACTAAAATAAAGTTTGAGTGAAATCGTAATTTTATTGAACCATTAATGATCAAAAAATCGATGTGAGCAACAATAAAATGTTTTATAGCTTAATACAAAACTAAACATTTAAAAAAGATATAAAAATTTAGATATAAAGGACTATATACAGAAAATTCGATAAAGGAGAGTTCAAGTTAGAAATAAGTTCGACAGACGCTGATAAGGGTAGAAAATGTTTTGCCTTGTGCCACCTGGTCAAGTTCGATGGGAAAATTTGCAGCTGATGAAATACATGGAATGCGGCAAACAATGGATTTGACAGCGGATAATCCACATTAAGCCATGACTTAAATTCAGCTTATTTCTGCTTTGTACCCAATGTCAATCAATAGCGCGTTAATCTTGCCTCTTCGCCGTAGGTCAAGTACGATGAGCAGCGGGCTGATCCGGAGGCAACACGTCTGGATGGCAGTGCTGGCTATTATCCCAATTGTGCCTCGGATGTTTGGCTGCGCTCCTGTGAGCGTGAGATTGTTGACCCCATTGAGGGTCACTTGAGTGGACATATACCCACCTGGTTGAATGGGAGTCTCTTGCGCAATGGTCCTGGCAGCTGGAAAGTGGGCGACATGAGCTTCAATCATCTGTTCGACTGTTCCGCTTTGCTGCATCGCTTTGCCATTAAGAATGGTCGGGTCACCTACCAGAATCGCTTTGTGGACACGCAGACGCTGCAAAAGAATCGCTCGGCTCAACGGATTGTGGTCACCGAATTTGGCACAGCTGCCGTGCCGGATCCATGTCACTCGATCTTTGACAAGTTTGGTGCAATCTTTAAGCCGGACAGTGGCAGCGATAACTCCATGATATCTATTTATCCGTTCGGTGATCAATATTACACATTTACCGAAACGCCTTTTATGCACAGGTGCGTATACTTAATATTTGTGTTTATATTTGAAAATTCATTGTCAGAATATATAGTAGTATATACGACTACTATTTATTACTATTTATAAGAAATAAGAACAGTCGCTTGACCACTTGTTTATGCATCTTGAAATTCTAAAGGAATAATTTGATAATGTTTTCAAATATCCTCCCATAAAAAGGCATAGCGAAAGCAATATTTAATGATGTACTTCTTTTATGTAATGTTATTAATCGTTGATTGCAGGATTAATCCGTGCACTTTAGCCACTGAGGGCCGTATTTGCACCACGGACTTTGTGGGCGTTATTAATCACACATCGCATCCGCATGTGGTGGCCAGCGGCACAGTCTACAATTTGGGCACGACTATCACAAAATCTGGGCCGGCCTACACTATTATTTGCTTTCCCAACGGCCAGCACATGTTCGAGGATGCACATGTGGTTGCCACACTGCCCTGTCGCTGGAAGCTGCATCCTGGCTATATGCACACGTTTGGACTGACAGACAATTATTTTGTGATTGTGGAGCAACCGTTGTCAGTGTCCTTGACGGACTACGTCCGATCGCAGTTGAACAATCAGAATTTATCTGCCTGCCTAAAATGGTACGAGGACAAACCCACACTATTCCATCTCATTGAGCGGGGAAGTGGAAAACTGGTACAGACCTACGAATCGGAAGCCTTTTTCTATCTGCACATTATCAATGCTTACGAGCAGGATGGCCATGTTGTGGTTGATATATGCAGCTACAAGAATCCCGAGATGATCAATTGCATGTATATGGAGGCCATAGCGAATATGCAAACGAATCCCAACTATGCCATGCTCTTTCGCGGTCGTCCTTTGCGTTTTGTCCTGCCACTCGGTGCAGGGGTCGTGGCTCTCAGCAAGCGTCGCCTGGTAAAATCCTTGTCCCTGGTGGGTCTTACCGCACCCCCATCCTCCCGCCTCAAGCACTCTGCCTCGCAATACACAGACATCACCTATATGGCCACAAATGGCAGGCAGGAGAGTCCACAGCATGGCCGCCATGATGAGGATGCTGGTGTTAATCTGATCACTCTGGGCCACACTAAGGCCGAAGCATATCAGAGTGCCAATGGGATACTGTTGCGACCCGAAATGCTCTGCGATTGGGGATGTGAGACGCCAAGGATATACTATGAGCGTTATATGGGAAAAAAATATCGCTACTTTTATGCCATCAGCTCCGATGTGGATGCACATAATCCGGGAACGGTAAGCATAAGAATCACACTAAGAATCCACTCGCTTGGTAACCATAAATCTCTCTCTTCGCAGCTCATCAAAGTGGATGTTGAGACTAAGACGTGCAAGACCTGGTGCGAGGATAACATCTATCCAAGTGAACCAATCTTTGTGCCTTCACCACAGCCACAAAGTGAAGATGATGGCGTCATATTAGCCTCCATGGTGGTTGGAGGACTCAACGATCGTTATGTGGGCTTGATTGTACTCTGTGCCAAGAGCATGACGGAGCTGGGTAGATGTGACTTCCATACGAATGGACCTGTGCCCAAGTGTCTGCATGGCTGGTTTGCGCCGCATACTGTTTAGGATTACATATGGAAAACTAGCTGTTAGCTTTTAGTTTACTCTCTTTGTATTAGCTTAAACTCTAGTTGTAGTTAAATCTTATTTTCTATTTGAACTTGGGATTTAAGATGTTTGCAATAAACTCTTGCCACTTTCGCTGGAACACTCGATTGATTTTGCGCCTCTCCAGCGATGTGAGCACCGAATACTTGATGGAGTTCAATGCCAGCTGCTTCAAGAAACGCAAATCCGCCTCCACTGGGGCCATGGCCATAAAAGCATAGTAGAAATCATAGCTTAGACCCTTTGCACCCCAAACTCCAGGATCATCCGCTGAGATCACAATGGGAAAGTTTTCGGCAATCAGAAAACTCGCTGGATGATTTCTCAAATCCCAGAGGAAACCCAAGACCTGATTGGACAACGGATTCACCTCGATGGCAATATTCCGTTTCTTGATCGTCGACCACAATTGTGGATGCTTGGGTAAAGCGAACCCGTGTCCAATCCGCTTGGTGTTCAACAATATGGCATCCATCATATTCCAATCCGTGCGACCATACCAATCTAAATGAGTTTTGTCATTAGATGAGGTATTTTTATACGATATATAATATATAAGAAGGGGACTTACTTGTCTCGCCCGCATGGAAGAAATAGTTGGCTGTGTTGGGTAGATCGGAGAGTTCATTCACATACTTTCTCAACATGTCTCCGGTATCCTCTTGGCCTATCATATCAAAGCCTATGATAAAGTTTGGTTTGGCAGAGCTTTAACAGGATGTTAAAGAATGAGAGAATTTAAACTTATTTCCCTTTGGAAGCCGAAGGCTAAATGTTTGCTTACTGCAGCTGTTTAAAAGTGCGAATATTCTCGGCCATTTTCTCCTCCGATGCCCGATTGCGCTTTGCGTAGATGACCTTGAGGCCCACAAAGTCCTGATGCTTGGCCTTGAACTCCTCCACAATGCGCTCCAGCTGATTGGCCACATCCAGCGAGCTATACGTGCGATTATTGTCATCATAAAGCTGAGCACAGAAACTGGTCTTAGTAGATTCAATTCTTAGGACTTTTCCATTGCATACTTACTGGCGACAGCGAGGCTCTTATCTCGGCATAGATGATGTTATCCTCGCACAGCTCCTCCAACAGCCGCTTGTGATAGGCACAGTAGGTGGGCTGATATTTGTACAAGCGATCCACAGTTGTGAAAATATTTTCAAACCGATTCCAAATCTTTTTTCTATTCGGCAAGAGAGCTGTAAGTTTTCAAGAAAGTTGCGATTTTATAATATACAATAAATATATCTCCACAGAGACATATCTCTAAAGTCTAAGATAAAGCTGACTGCAAGTTCATTCGAAACTGATCAATAGACACACATTAAAATAACCATTACAAATAATTAAGTTGCATGTAGTAATGCTGATCAATTGCGGAACATTTACTTACATTCTGGGTGATTGCTATGCATATTGATGTGCTTCTCCAGCTGTCTCTCATATTGTTGACGATCCTCGGCGTTGATACGCTCCGTGCAGACATTCTGCTCCTCACTGTGGCAATTGGAACTGGCCGTATCATAGGTGAATATCAGTAATCCATTAATATCACGACAGGTGTATAGATTATTGGTCGTGGTGAGATTCGTTATAATCCACTTGGAGCTGACCATTGCGGTGTTGTGGCCATGCAGGAAGGCGCCCTTGGGCATCTTTTGTATAATGCGAAACACTTCGCTCTGTCGCACAAATTGTTTGCCCTGGAAGAAGTGCAATGCTGGCGGATATTTCTCCGGATGTTTGACACCCTCCGCGATCTCCGCCCGTTTCGCATTCATCAGAACACTGTTGGCTTTCTCCTCATCCGCCGTGAGCCACAAACTGCCACCCAACGAGGCCATTTGTTCAGCTTTCATAATTCGCTCGCGAAGCGTCTCATATGCTGAAATACGTATTTTCACTAATTAATGGGAATATCAAATTGAACCGATTTAGCTGTGTATCCTTGCAGAAGGTATTATCATTTTGTTGTGAAATAATCAGTTGCCAAGGGGATTATCAGTCGAATGAGGAAAAATGAGGTCTTGTTTGAACAACTTTTTTGTTTACCAACATATCCGGACTAAATTCTGATTAACGAGTGGCTCTGATTAATGCTCGGTTTTTAGAACATATTACGAAATTTTAATATCAGCACTGCAGTCTGCAAGGTCGTGCCTAAAAGAGTTGTTGTTTTTTTTGTTTTAAACATACGTAAATCTGCGCTTAGTAGATGACCCACTAGGGACAGCCACAGACACAATAATTTGATCAGCATTACGCAAAAATAAATAATAAATAATCCGTTATGTTCTTTATATATTTATATATATATTTATATTTATATGTAAGATGATGCGCGTCGTCTGCCGTTCAGTTGCTCACTGATAAAGCCGCTGGCAAATTGCGACTATCAACACTTATGCTTGGTATTCTCCAAAAAGTCTCCGTGATTCCGGTTGCTCTCGGCGCTCTGGGCGAGATCAGCGCCAGCTGTGCCCAGAGTTCAATGTCAGAGATTTGTGCAAATTGTGCATACTGACCAACGGGGGCGCGAAAAATTATACATAACATAACATATAAGGCTTGAGCCCTGCATAAATCGCGAATATTACACTTTTGAATACCCTGCAATTTCACATTTGCATATTTCGAAACTTAGTTTGCCTTAAGTCGACTGATTTTGCTGTTGTCCTGTGAATTCATGTTTTAAAAATAGAAGAAATCTAAATATATCGAAGAATACACATAAGATAAAAAAGTTTTAAATTATTAAAAATTGTATTTAAATGATCTATCATAAAATTGATGTAAGAACTTTGTATATAAAAATAATTTCTCTATAAATCTCATAATGCAATGCCTCTTAAGCTTTTCGCTATATGTGGGTCACTTGGGAATCGTGTATGCCGAAAGCAGCATTTACTATATCTATGTAAATATGTTATCAGCATTGTTTTGTATATTTATAGTGAACAATTTTTTTTTTGCTGCATATTGTTTACTAACCTAAATTGTTTTGGGGACACTTAAAATTGATACTTGTCATTGAGTGGGACATGTACAAATTTGCCACATTTGAAAGAGCAAAATGTGTGCGAAAAGGTGAGAAAAATGTCGAGTCGGAGGGGTGAAAAGCAAGAGATGGGTTTGGGGGGAAGATGTGACGAATTAGATTGTCATTGTCAAGTGAACAACGTTGGAAAAATAATAAAATAATACATATAACATAATATATAAAGTATAAATACAACATTGAACTACAAAAAACATGTAATGGCTCAATAGTTCATTTAATTCAATTTTGTTGGAGAGAGCAACACAAAATTACCATAAAATAATATACAACAAATTACAAGTAGAAACCACCTAATTTGCTTCGGTACAAAAATAAAATCCGTTAAGGGAAATTTGTCGATTCGTTGTCGGCATTGCCCCTGGTAACAGCTCTGCAGAAAAGAAGCTGCTGCTTCTTAGCTCCAGCTTCCTTCTTTTCCATTCGAAGTCGAGGAGCAAGAAGACGTGTCCTTCCTCGTGATAATTATAAACAAAAAAATAAAAATATCAATTGAGGACGAGCAGGACAGGAAAACAAATCTTCAAATTTCTAAACCATCCACGGCCTAAAGTGGATGGGATCGTTATCGCTGATTGGAACAGCAAAAAAAATAAACAAATAAGTAAAATATCCCAAAACTAAATGTTTCCCGGCACATGGTTTCCTTAATATGAGAATAAATTACTATACATATATATATATATATGTATAATCAAAACTCCATATATATATATATATATATATAAACTCCAGCAGACGAAAGTGCAGTGATCACCAAAAAAAAAAGAAATCCACATAAAAATTAACCAGCCATGCAGCGTAAAACGCCGACTGCAACTTACAATTATAAATTACAGTTATAACTGCAAAATTATATTTAGCTATAAGTGTAAAATTATATTTAGTTATAAGTGCAAAATTGTTGGTATCGTTGGTATAATATCAACCAAAAACAACAAAGACAACAAACCATTGACAACAACAACACTAGTTACGAGAAGTCCTTCATCGTGCAGAAATTTGGGTGAGTGATTGCATTGTTTGTCCCACTGTGAGGGCTAGCGCAGGTTTTTGCACGTGTGTGAACAAAGAGAGTGAGCAATGAATCGAGAGCGAGCTAAAACGAGCGTGAGCGAGGTTACTCGTAAGCGTGCGCGTAAGCTCAATAATGATTACGCTCTAAAGCTCTTGCGCTCTCTGCTCTCTCTTAGATTTTGATGATCTTTTATTTTGATTGACTCTTACAACGTCACTTTTAATGACTTAATATGTAACGTATGCATACTCGAAAAACTTGAAAGAGAACATTTTGAATTAAAGTAAAATTATCCCCTCCTTGTAAAACATTTATTACAAAATTTCTTTACATTTATCTACAATCACACATATATACCCTTTTCAATTTTTACATATAAAGAAAACTATTATTCTCAGGTGCGAAAGTGAATTGAATTGAGGACATGTAATAAAGAACAAAAATGAGAAATATAAATAATAAATAACATGAATAAAAATGCTAGTTGAAAAAGTTAAAATGAAAGAACAAAATTTAATATAATTTTCTTTTGTATGATAAATAATTTTGCATATACACTGGAAATATTTTAAGAATCTTTAGTTACAAAAAAAAAAAAAATAAAATAAAATAATAATTAAATATGTAATCGACTTCAAGAAATCAATCTCCAAATGTTAGTTTTAAGAATTCTCACACTACCCTAGATTCAATTAGGTCTTTAAAAAAATGAATAATTCAAAGTCCAAATCTTATTTAAAAATAACGAATACTAAGTTTAGTTTTTAGATACCATTCTTTTGCCATTAACGATTAAAACGGGGTAAAGTTTATAAAATGAGAACATACATTTTTTTTTTCTCCGAATCATGGGGTCGTAAAGTCTGAATTGAATTGATATGCACATATGGGGATCTGCAATCACCATTACCCGTACAGGTCCTGGTCGGGTCGGGTGCAGATTATCTTGATTAGCCTTTCTGCGATCTTTGGGCTGAATTCGGATTGACCGGAAGGGTCAATTCATTTAAGTATTACCCAACAGGGCTTTTTAGGGACCCTATAAATAAAATTCACCCAGTGTGCCGAGATAGGTCAACAAAACCCCCGCCCACATTCCCGAACAGAGCTAGTTCGTTGACGGGTCTCGACCGTTGGACTATATCCGGCGAATGGAGAATTTTCGGCAGCATTGCCCAGGTTCTTCAAACATGTATTTTTTTTTTAAATGTGAACGATCGAACATTACGAACAAGAAACTTAATAGATAATTTTCATTCGTCATTTGTCAGTTATTTGATAGCGCTCGCTGCGAAAGATAAGCTGCAAGATATTTGCAATGTGAATCAGAAGTTAAAGCTGATTTTCAAACCGTTCAAGAACAGACAATCGCATTATGCAACACAGTCAAGTATAATTTCCCAAAATTGTTATATTCAGTGACTTTGCGAATACTGTTTAAAATAACAAATTATTTCTTATAAATACCGAATATTACTTTGTTTCAAGCGGGCGACAATTGATGTCTCCAATTACCGTTAAGTATGTGTACAGTATATGTACCACGCCCAGCCCCCCAAAGCATCGCTTTTGATTGGGAAACAGCTCATTTCGTATGCGATTAGAAACCAGCTAAGCGCGTCCGTAAACGTCAGTGACAATTTGCCAAGTTCTTCAGAAATATTGCTCTACCTGCTGATACCCTCTAAGCTCTGCACACATTAATTGTCTCAAGAATAAAGTAACAGGTGAAACGTAAATGGCTAAGTGAAAACTTGTCTATCAGCTCTAAGATGGAGGCAAGGTCAAGTTTATTGTTCTTTTATCGATTTTTGTTTAGCATTTAAGTGACAAAGTTTCGTTTATTCACCTACTGTGTAATTTTGAACTATTTGTTAATTGGTTTTTATAACGGCAACTAATACTACTAACACTACCTTACTACAAGTAGTATCTACAAGTAGGGTATACAAATTAAAAAAGGCGCTGGGCGCGTGTCTATTTTGTATTTATTGCTAGTTTTTGATTCACTTGATATGCACAGCCATTCCTCCTCCAGTCAAAAAACTCTGAAGAATAATTTTTGCAACAAAAAAAAAAAAAAAAACAAAAAAAAATAAACAAACAGAAGGGAATAAAAATTAATTGTGAATAATGCTTATGCTTAAGTAATTTTGTAAACAATTTTACAAATTGCCACTGTGAATTGATAAAGAGACAGCATTTTGCACAGTTCTCGATGAGCGCTGCTGGCGTTCGGAGCAAAATACTTGGCAATACCAAAATTGTTTTAGGCTGAAACCAGCTAAAGGAATTATACGACAAGTCTCAACGTGTCAATCAGGCGAAAGTCAATATTTATGTGGGCGGCTCGTTAACTTGGCCAAAAATAAATCGAAACTAAGGCCAACACATATTTTATTGACTTCATTTGACAAAATGAAGTGTCTGTTGCTGCTTGTGGCTCTACTGGTCAGTCCATCATACGCCGAACAGAAAACTGCATTAAGTAAGCCTTAAATTAAGAAGTATTAGCTAATTTCGACATGCCGACGTTTATATATCCTGACAGTTGTGTCTAAAGTTAAACAGTTAATCAATATGCCATTCCATGTAGTAGTCCGACTTTTTGTCAACGGATTCAGTTGGTCAACAAAAAAATGCTTATACAATAACTCAACTATTAGGGAATATTTACTATATTGTTTTTATATATTTAATATCTCTAAAATGAATATTTAACAATACAATTTGGTTTTCTAGGCTACGAGAAAGCTCGCCAGGCGGTGCTCAATGCCGAGGAGCAGCTGATGACAGGTGGCCGCACCGAGCTCAGCAATCAGGAGTCCAAAGTGGATGATCTCTTCATGCAGTACAAGTTGGGCGAGTTGGCACAAGGATTTCGAAATGCCGATCAAAATGCAGCCGCTATGCATTTCTTCAAAGCGAAACCTTTAATCGATCGCAGCGCAGTCTTTAAGTTCCTCCAACAGATGCCCAAAGGGGCGCTGCTCCATGTGCACAACACGGCGGCTGTGAGTTCCAAGTGGGTGGTCCAGAATATGTCATATATGCCAGGATTATTGCGATGCACGACTGCCGAGGGACGCAGCAGATTGACCTTTCGGCGAGCTATCAAGGAGCATGGATGCACATCCCAGTATGTCTATGTGGCAGATGAGAGACGCAACTCCATAGATCCGGCGATGTACGATGAGAATTTCGAGAGACTCATTAATTTATATACGCCTGTGCCGGAGTGTAAGTAGCGAATAAAACGATCAACCAAATGCAACCAAAAAGTTGATCTTAAAGTTGATTTATATAAATTTTATAAATAAGTGCAAATCTTGTTTAAACGTTTTAAACACACAAGTTTTGATAATTTTAAATCTTGACGCAATCTTATGATCAGGTGTGATTTAAACACTTACCTCCTTCCAGATTGCAAGTGTCTTCGAAACTTATCTAAAAACAATATTCATAAACGTATTGTAGCTCCTTAAATAAACCATTAACTCACTTCATTTTTCTCTCGGCAGTGGAACATCCAACAATAACAGTTGTGTGGAATAAATTCCAGGGCATGTTTGATACCTTAAGAGATGCCATTTATTATCTGCCCGCCTATCGCGCTTATCATTGGCAGCTGCTGGAGGAGCTCTATAATGACAATGTCATGTATGCCGAGCTGCGCATAAGTCTAAGCGAGGTGAGCTGAGTCTACGTTCCGATAAAAGTGATGCCTTTGACTTTGCTGTCTAATTCTTCTCCGATCACACAGTTGTACGATGCCAGTGGACGTACTTTTCCAAAGGAGCAATCGGTGAGGGAGCTGCAATTCCTGAATGAGAAATTTGTGAGACTGCATCCAAACTTTTTGGGCATCAAGGTCATCTATGCGGTTTGGCGGGGAGCAGATATCGAGAAAATAAAGGAGAATGTGAAGGAGTTCAAATTATTACAGTAAGCTCTCAAATTATTAAGTTGGCAATTCATATTTTGAGCCAATCTTAATCCTTGTCATAGACAGGAATTTCCGCAATTTGTCGTTGGCTTTGATCTGGTGGGTCAAGAGGACAATGGTAAGCCGCTCTATCAACATCTAGCGGCATTAAAGGATCTGCCGCCCAGCGCCCGCTTGTTTCTGCATGCAGGGGAAACGAGTAAGTAAATTGGCCAAAACAAAAAGAATAAGTTATCTAAGCATAAATGTATTTTAAAGATTGGTATGGCGCTTCAACGGACATCAATTTGTTAGATGCTCTGCTGCTAAATACCACAAGAATCGGACATGCCTTCGCCTTGGTCAAGCATCCCATTCTGATGAATGCTGCGAAAACTCGGGATATAGCTGTGGAATTGAATCCAATCTCGAATCAGGTGCTGCATCTCGTTTGGGATATGCGTAATCATCCGGGTGCTCAGCTTTTGGCACTGGATGTTCCCGTCGTCATCTGCAATGATGATCCGGGCTTCTGGAATGCCAAGGCATTGTCCTATGATTTTTATTACGCTATAATGAGCTTAGCTCCCAACAATGCCGGCCTTCGTCTGCTCAAAACTCTTGTTTTCAATTCGGTGCGCTACTCGACGCTAACGGAGAAGGAGCAGAAGAGGGCCTTTCAGATACTGGAGTACAGCTGGACACGTTTTATGGATAAAGTGCTGCAGGGCAAAGTATTTTAAAAATAGTAATTTATGTGAATTGAAACAATGCTTTATAAATTATGCCTTATGTTTTATTATATACAACAAATTGACAGCCTTTAAGCCCGCATTATAAATGACTAGAAATTGGAATAGAATTTTCATGTGAATGAAATTGCTTGAAGCTAAAATTTTAACATTTAAATTGACTGAAATTGATATCTCGCAATATGACATTAAAATTTAAGATAGAAAGAAGCCCAGTGATTTTTTAAAGCGCATATGATCATCTATTAAATCAATATTAAAACACTTAATACTAATTTAGAAATTTAATTGCTGTGCTGCTGCACAAAACGCTCGCAGCTCTCCAGAATCTGTGCGAACGCCGCATGAAAGCCGCCCATGCCTCGACTCTGCGAATACAAAAGAATTAATTAATTAAATTAAAAAGAAAACTCAATTAAATCTCAAACAAATTACAAAATATGGATCTGGAATAATCTCATCTTCCTTGCGATTCAAGTAGCTGCCCAGGAGTTGGATTTGACATGTTGGTGGTGGCTGCAAACGGGAAGCTATTTGCTGCAGCTCCTGAATGTTGCTATCATCCATGCCGAAGATGTAGTCAAAGTCATAGAAATCCTGAGAGGTTATCTGAAAGATTGATCATAGTATAAAAAAAAGATGCACATAAGTTAAACTATTTATATATATCTATATACCTCTCGGCTCATGTGCTCAGTCTTCAGGCCATGCTGCTTCAACAGGTCCTGAGCGCGTCCTTGTGGCAGCCAGCCCACATTCCAATCTCGCAGTCCGGCGCTATCCGTCTCCCAATCGGTCAGCTGCTTTTTAAATATCAGCTGTCTTAAGACCGCCTCCGCCATGGGTGAGCGACAGGTGTTGCCTATCGAAAGTATAAATGATGCAATTAGTAATTGTCTCTGTACCCATTATTTTATTCAGCGCCACTTACCCAAGCAGACAAATAAAACTTTCATGCCGTCAAAAAAGACGTCAACAATGCACAAGGAAATTTTACCGACTGAATTTCACCACTAACAATCACCACTCGAGAGAATGAGCAACACTACAGTGGTCGCTCGCAAAAGTAAACGCATTGGTTGAGTGTGAACAATTTAAGATTCTGCAAACACAATTTGTACACCAAAAATTAGTTATGAGTTAAATAAATCAATTTTAATAAATTTATTATATACGTAATCAAATTTCATGGGGGTTAATTTGCGAGCGACTACTGTAAGAATTACTCACCTACTACAAGAATAATCAATCGAATTCACATTTCAAAACTGGTTTATTAATTGTTCAACAACATACAACAACAACAATTTACCTACTATAATTATTTTTGCAATCGCTGCTCTGCAAACGCTTTACAGGCAACAACACATTGTTGATAAGCCACCTCAAAACCCTCATCGCCACGTTCCTGTAAACAAAATAAAAGCTATCACAGTAACTGCAAAGCAAAGCAGTTTTACAACACTTACATAGTAGGGATCCTCAATGATGCGATTCTCTTTGCTCAGGCCAAAATCGCCAAGCAGCAGCAGCTCCGCTTTAGAGCCATTTGGCGCTAGACGGCGCAATTCGCTCATATTTTCCTCATCCATGCCAAAAATGTAGTCGAACTCATTGAAATCCTGCTTCGTTATCTGGCGGACAATGTGGGTGTTTTTCAGGTCGTGATTCTTCAGTGTGCTCAATGCTCGCGGATCTGCACGTTTTCCAACATGCCAGGGACCAATGGCGGCGCTGTCCACCACAACAGATTGCAGATTTAACTTGACCAAAACATCAGTCATGACAGTTTCAGCTATGGGCGACCTGCAAATGTTGCCTTTGTGTGCGTGTGTAGGGGAAATCAATTAACGAGTTGAGTGTTTTGACTTATTTTGAATTTATTACCCAAACAGATCATTAATATCTTTTGTACCATGTTTTAAAAGTAAATGTACACGTTTAATTCTAATTTTGTTTGCTAGCTGCCTCTGGCGAAATTTACCAACACTAGCAAAGCGAGCGAATTGACAGCATGAGACACAAACAGCTGTTCGTTAACCCTGCACTAGTGCCAGTGAGTTGAATTCTAGGTTATAATTTCACCAGAGCGCGCTTGTTTTAAAAAATTTGAACAGGCACAACTGCACTGCTTGAATATCTTCTCAAAGGGCTCCTCACCCATTAACTGCAAATGCAAACAATGAAATAATTATGCAAGGTACTTACTATGTATGCACTTACGTAATAGGGATCATCAATGATGCGTTCAGTGGGCTTCAGGCCAAACAAAAAGTCACCCAGCAGCAACAAATTGGCTTTGGCATAATGCGGCTCCAACAGACGCAACGAGGCCATATTGCTGTGATCCATGCCAAATATATAGTCGAATTTTTGAAAATCATCCGCTACGAGACGCCGCGCACAACCGTTATACACAATCTTGTGTTGGCCGAGAACACTCAGGACTCGTGGATCTGGAGGTGCGCCCACATGCCACGCCTCTATGGCTGCACTATCCACATGCCACTCATACTGGAGACCATTCTGCGCAATTACGGCACGCATCACAGCCTCCGCAACGGGTGAGCGACAAATGTTGTCTAAAGGATGTTTGTTTATTTTTTTCTCTTTTATGGGAGTTGACTATTTTAATATTATTTATTTTTACCCACGCAAACCATCAGGATGTATTTTGGCTTCTGCGACTTTTTACTCATTCCGCGCAATTATTTTAATTTTACTTTTTTACTGGTCACTTGTCAAATTAGTTGCCACAGTTTTTATGTGTGCGGAAAAGTTTACACCAATTGATATTGTGTAAAATTGTAAATAAAAATTGTTTGAATGTGCCAACAAAATGTAAAATGATAGCTGGCTGACAGACAGACTGACAACTTGTTTATTTTGAATTAATGTACATTTTGTAATTGCTTTTTTTCGAGGTTTTTTTTACAGTGCTGTACTGACAATTTATTTATTTTAAATTAATTTAAATGTAATCATTTTTTTTGTACCATTTCCACAATTATCGATAATCGCAAACAAATATGTCATTCTTTTTTCTACGACTTTATAGAACAATACAGTTTCAATTAATTATATATATACATGTTTTTTAAATTAAATTTTGTGTTGATTTCCTGATAATTAGGTCTTCAAAACATGATTCGGACTTAAGTAAACATTCAAGACTCGTTCTAGGCTAGAGTTCGACTTCGACACCTTCTTGCCCAGATGCAAAGTGTTTTTCTTTACATGCCTCATTGAGAGGTGTGAATCTAAACACCTCGTTTCTATATTTATATGTAGATTGTCAAGTGGCTCTGATTGTGAGACTTCACACAATTCTCGTATTTCCGGGCTTGCGAGTAATTTTAAAGTGATGCGAAACGAGTGCAACGATTAACATTTAATTAAAGTAAACTTCTGCAAGAGATCCATTTCCCAATTCCCATTTCCCATTTCCCAATTTCCATTCCCATTTTCCTTTTTAACATTTTCCATTTCCAGTGCCAAGTTTTGTATGCAAAATGATGTGATGAGCGCAGAATACCCATGAATATGCATTAGGCTGCAGATTGCCAGGACCTCGGCCCTTTTTTTAATGACTTTTACGAAACTATCCCCGCACCTATCTCTCGCTTCCTCTTGGGTGAGCAGGCGGTCAAAGTGCAGTTTGGCGCTTAAAGCTGCTGTTTGCCTCTCAGGTTGAGAGTTCGTCTGCCACAGAGAAGGGCACCAACAGCTGGTAGCTGCCGCGGCAGCCTTCTGCTGCAAGTATAAACTAAGTTTTATGCAAATTTCACATAACAACAAGATAAACAAAAGCCAGACACACATCAACTTCTGCCAAGTTTTGAGCTTCATGTTATGCTTTATACCCAGTACCCACTAAAATTTGCCAGACTGAGAAATCATATTGACTTATTAATTGTAATACGAAACGTTTGTAATTTTAGAAACCTCAATTTTGGCATGCACACAAAATAATCAAAGTGGAATTTTAAAGATCAAAATACACTTTACTTTAAATCAGCTTATCTTATTATTCAGAAAGTAAATTTCCTAAAACTCAAAATTATTTCTTTTTTAAAACCAAGGTTTTCATTTTTTGTGTACACAGAATTCCCACAATAGATAGTTTATAAATTCATATAAATTAATTTGAATTTATAATTTTACACTATTTTTTCTTTAAATAGCGTATTTTTTTAATGTTGAATATAAGTCGATGCAAATAAAATGGTTAGAACAATTCTTGCAGGCAAAGATACCAGCAAAATCAAATCTAAATCTAATTTACATATGCTAAAAGCTGTGGTATATTCAAGTTGTGCTAATCTTCGCTGGAATCACTTTTACTTGAAGTAGTTGTTGCTCTTCCTTTTTTTTTTTTGGCGGGGCGTTTGGTGCATATTTAGGTGCAATTGGAGAAGGTTCAAAGAGAGGCATCAAAGTGAGCTTGTCTTGGCGTAGACAAGAAATATTACACGCTCGTCTTCTTCTACTCGGTAGACAGACAGACAGATAGATGGACGGACTATGCAAATTGTGTTGGCAACTGGCAGGCGATGGCAGTTGCTGCAGTGCGTCCTCAACTGGCAATTGACAATTGTTCACAAAATGCAAATGGAAAATGCGGAGACACATGCAACAACAGCAGCAACATCAACAACTGCAGTAACAACAGCAACAACAGCAACAACAGCAACACCAACAACAACATACAGTAATAACTCATGCATATGCGCTGAGGGGCAATGTTGAAGGCGTTGACATTGCCACAGCAATGACAGCGCGAGGATGTCTGCATTTTAGATAAGATACAGCTGAAGTTAAAGATAAAGGCAGCTGTGCCTTCATTATCAACCAACAGTCAGTGCAAATACGAATGTACCAACAACAACAAAAGAGGCAGAAAGCAAACAACAACAAAAACAACAACTACTGATAAAAGCTACAACATTCTGACTTGACAGTTATGGCCAAATGGGCAAAATGTTCTATAAAATATGACCGGTAACAGATGAGCAGCCATTTTGCAAACGAGCAACAGATATATAATAGATATAGATATATATATATATATATATATATATATATATATATACATACTAACTGGTAGCCCGTCGTTCTTTCTAATATCTGACTAGCTGTACAGATGTCTGCATCTCTGCTATCTCTGCGCTGGCAGCTTCATCAAATATTTAGCATCAGACATTTGTACATATTGTGAAATGTAAATACGAAACGATGTCGAAGTGGTGGGAATATATATGTATCTGTGTATATATGTATGTATATATGTATGTGTGTGCCTATCTCTATGTGTGTATGTATGTGTAAATAGAAACTACCCTCTTTCTATGCTGCTGCTGCTGCTACTGCTGGGGGAGGGGGTGTGGGTGTTTGCAGCAGTGCCAATGACCAAGAACAGCAACAGCCGAGCCAAAAGCACAAGCAAAAGCAAAAACAAAAGCAAAAACAAAAGCAAAATAGCAAAAGCATCGCCAGCCAAAAAGCCGGCAACAACAAACGACAGCAGCAACAATGCCAGCAGAGATGCCAGCAACAATTTGGATGCATCTCTGTTCAGGTGCGAAGCGAACTATTTGAGGGTTTCATGAGAAACATTTTCGAATGCCAAAACACAACTAAAAGTGAGAAGATTGCAAGTGAAATCAAAATATCATAATATATTCATAATATTAAATCATATTTCTCTCTTTGGAAGATCGACTTCCATAAATTTCTCTCTAAATTAGAAGAAGTAACATGTACAAATTCATATACATATACCTATAACATATGAAATACATTTAAAATAAAACAATTATTTCATAATGTTTTCATTTATAGAATTTTCGTGAATCATTAGTGCTTCTGGTTTTGGCTTTAAGACAATAACTTAATAACATACAATAATATACAAATAGAATATACAACAGCTAGCTACAAACATGTGTATATGCAATGTAATAAAATAGCACATTGCATTCAATAACAATCTCATTCTAAGCGTATTCACTTGAAATAGATCATAAAATAACACACTCACACACATGGGCCCAACAACATTGCAAATCCGCTCCTGTGTGTGTGTGGCTGCTTGCTAGCGGCGAGTGCATGTGTTTGCGTGCATTTATCTCGTTTCGACTTGTTATGTTGCTTGACTGTTTGTCGACAGCGACGCCAGCGGCGACAGCGACCGAGCGGCAGCGGCAGCGGCAATGGCAGCGACAGCGACAGCGGCGTTTCAGAAACTTGTTTTCAACGTAGTTGGGTTTAGTTTACTTTGAGACGGCAACGCAGGTGGACGTGCGAGACGCACGACTAACGACAGAAAACGAACGTGAAACGGGCGCGTCAAGAATCGAGAAACGTAGCGCGGCGTTTTTAAAAATATATGCAAACAAACAAACACACGCACACAATAGCAACTACAACAGCAACAGCAACAACAACAACAAGAACACCAACAAGTGAAGCGACCGTTTGCGTTTGGTTTTTATGACGCGTCGGTAACGCGTCAGGTAGTTTTTTCGAAATTAATATTATCGTTTATTATTATTATTATTATTACTCTTGTTGTTGTCAGTGCTTGTCCGTTCAACTTTTTTTTCGTGCGTTCTGTTCAAAAGTCCAACGAGCGTGTAAATGTTTGTTAACAACTACAAAACACACAAACAACAACAACAAAGATAATAGTAAGAAGAAGAAAAGAGAAGAAAGTGCAGCTTCACAAATAGAAGCGATTAACGGATACGTGTTTCTACTTTTTGGGATTACTCATCTTTGGACAGGAGCAACGAACCAAAAGCGGCGACATTTTCACTGTCGCCTTTGCTCCACAACGAATCAGCCATCTCTCTCTCTCTATCTCTTTCTCTCTCACTCTTCACGAAATCGAAAACCAGTATCTGAAGCCAATGTATCTGTAAGATACAACAACAAAAATAACAAAGAAAAATAAAAATAAAATAAAAAAAAAGCACCAGCGCATATTGGAATTTACTTGACACAGCAGCGATCTGTCTATTGGAATTGTACTTGATTTAACTGGGCATATTTCTTCTGGCTTTGGGTAAGTACGAAAAGCAGGCGGCGGCGCCTTTTTCCTAGAATTATAACACATGGGTTTTTCCAACCCTCGATCGGCTAATGATGTAGCTGACCCTAGCTGCTGCACACGTCTGCTACCTGTTTTCCAAAAAATAAAAATAATAAAATAAATACAAATCTACGCTGACCCTTTCGAGGCAAAGATTTCACCGCATATATCGAAATGCTATTTATAAACTACAACTACAACAACAGCAACAACAACAAAAACTCCAACTCCAGCAACCAACTCCCAATTCCAAACACTCAGATCGCCCAGTCTCAGATCGCAGTCCTCGGCTTACGCTTGTGCGTTTTTCTTTGCCACAGACAAGAGTCTTGTCTTGGAGCCGGTTTTTACCTTGGCCAACAACAACAACAACAGCAGCAGCAACAACAACATCAATTCAATTTCTACTGGCTGAGTGAGTTTTGAGCTGTGATGAAGAATCTCAGCAGTCGCCACATCATTGGAGGCATCGACGACGACTTCTGCCACAGACTGAGACTGAGACTGAGACTCAGGCTTCAGTTTCAGCTTCAGCTTCTCGCGTCGCATCTTTTCAAGCAGGTTTCTTGTATTCTGCTGTTGTTGTTGTTGCTGTTTTCTTCTGCTTTTCGTTTTCGTTTTATACCACTTACAATATTTTGTGGCCAAGATTTATTTATTTATTTTTTTTTTGCTGATTTCTTAGTGTATTCTGGTTTGTATACCCTTGCTGGGGGCATTGAAAATATGCCAAGAAATGTGTGACGCTTTAGGGAATAGATTACAATTGAATATACATATTTCTGATAAATTGATAAATGCAAATGAGTAAAAGTAAAAGAGTGAATTGTTTACTGAATAGACTTTGTAGTTCTTTTGATCTTACAATTTCTTATAAATCGACTATAGAATTATACAAATTGAAATCCAAGCCCGAGGCTAAGCCCAGGAAAAGATACTTTTTCCATACACAATTTAACAAGTGTATTCAAAGTTCGTCAAACTGCTTAGATAACTGTACATTCTTGTTTTATATTCGTAAACTATTTGGATTTTTTGTTGGATTTTTTGGCCAAGTAGGTGCATGGCCTTATTTACCCAGTTTTCAAAACGGCTATTGGCGATTTCATTTTTGTGCTGATTCATAATTTTGTTTGGAATATTTTAGTCAAATATGCCAGACATATGCGATCGAGTTTCGAGCGGACGGCACACCCATGACAAAAAAAAAGAAGGCAGAAACTGTAGCTAAAAATGTTCATTACCAGCATTTGAGTCACTGCCGAACAATGTGGCCAGCTTGGCAACGCTTTGCAGGCATGACCGGATTATGGCCGGAACAAAACAATGCAAAACATAAAATGCAAAACTTGTTGCTAAACAACAACAAAATCAACAACAGCAGCCACTAACGAACAAATAAAATGCTTTTAAAAAAAGAGTCGTTTGTCTGCCATGTGCCTGACCAGGTGAGGCCCGCATTTCGTTGTTGTGATTGTTGTTGTTGTTTTTGCTTTGGTTTTTGTTTTTGTTTTTGTTTTTGTTGTTCCTGTTTGTTGTTGTTCAAGTCAATAAAGCTGCTTACAGCCAAGGCAAAAATGTTAGCACAAAACTTGGAGCAACTGTGTCAGCAGTCTGCATTCGCTGAGTATTAAGCACACAGCTTTAAGATTAACCCAGTCTTGACCGTAGTGCGCCAAAGAAGATGCCGCCCAAAGTAGCCGTCTCTAGTTGTCTGGCAGCGATTAAGTCTAATTAAAGCTGACAGTCGTCCGCATAAGATACTAGAACATCACCTAATCATGAGAGAGAAGGGAGAGAAAGAGCGAGAGTGAGAGAGAGGGAGAGGGAGGGAGAGATTGGAGAAGGGCGGCACCTAATTAAAGCAGCGCCATTTCATCTGTCAGCTGCATGGCCAATTAAAGCCAAAAATAGGAACAAGTTAGAGTACTCCAGTCGAGGTCTAATAGATACCCAGCACTAAAATACAATCTTTAAATTGTGATTATATAAATAGTGTATAAATAAGGAGATACATTTTTAAATGAAAGATACCCAGCAATAACACATCTTTTATTTATAAATATATTTTTTTAAATAATGCTGTATAAATAGAAAGATAAACATTTAAATTCTTATTATAAGCTTCATGGGAGTTTCCAAGAACATAAGATGAATATCGATAATTGTCGATATTTGTCATTGGCAGAGTTATCGACGAAATGTACTCAGACCCACATACATATCAGGTTTCAGCTTTCTATCCGTTGTAGTTTTGAAGATAGAGAATGGGCGACTTGCTTATGATTCTGGTTAAGAATAAACTCTTTTTGTGAGGTCTGTCTTCGCCTCCCTTGTTAAATACATTCGCACAGCTTCATTATACCCATTATTTATTACCAACACTTTTAATGGGCACACTTTTGACACTTTCGCCTCGAGGCAGCTGTGAAATTAACTCCAGGCCCTATTATTTATTTATTTTTATTTTTTTTTGTTGCAAGCACTCGCTCAATTTATTCGCATGCTTGAATTTTGACCGTTGTATGTATTAATTTAAAGTGAGAGTGAGAGAGTGAGACAGATAGAAAGAGAGCGAGAACGAGAGAAGGAGATGAATTGGGATAGGGAGAGAGCTGTGGGAATGTATAGATCTATGCTAGACCTCTTCCTGACTGCGACGCACACATCGAGTTACTTTCCGCTTGAATTCGGCATAATCTTCGCGAAACTCCTTGGCCGCATCCACGTTGGCCGCCGACTCATCATTGGGATCGGCCAACATGGAGATCACCGATAGCAATATGGTCTCCACGGTGTGCACTGGCAGCCAGCGCTCTTCGGCCTTCTCATAGCCAAATTTATCATCGCCGGGCTCATGGAGTATCGAGATGCACACATTGCCATTCTTCTCAATATTGGGATGCCAGATTTCTGTGACGAATTTCATGTGTGGCGGTCGCAACGGGTACTCCTTGGGGAATGTTAGATGTGCCTTGAAGCAGCCGCCCTCGTACAGGGTATCCGGTGGCCCAATGATGACCACTTCCCATTTGAAGATCTCCTCATCGTTGATCAAACCGGCTGAGAAACCATCGACGGGATTGCGATGCAGTTCAGCCAGTTGACGCTTCAGCAACAGCGATGCTTGCAATTCAGACATGTTTCGGGCTCTTAATATTAATAGCTGATGATAGTTGGTAGGGATAGTGGGCTAGTCTTTGTTACTTACTGAAAATTTGCTAAAAAATTTTTTTCTTTTGTTTTTTTGAATTTATGTACCCTTTTTACAGTGCTGAACGCTACGGCCAAGCAGCATCGACAGTTCTAGATCTCTTAGCTCTAGATCTCTGCTTATATATTCAGACAGTTCTAGCAAGGGAAACTAAGAGTTAAAAGCAGCCTATATAAATATATAAAAATATATTTTTCAACCTTTTAGTTTACTATTTTACTATATTTTTTCTCTGAAATCATAAGATAAAAACATGAGAATTGCTTAAAAATTTGTTTGAGACTGTTTTTAAGAGCATAAGAAAAATTACAAAAATTGTCATTTGAAATGTTAACGGGAATTAAAACGTAACTAAAATAAACTAAATTATTTCATCATAATTTTTCGACATAATCATTCAACAAAGCCAAGGTCAATGAACTAAAGAATATTTCTTTTAAATGTGAAATATTTTAGAGTGCTAAACGCTAAACGCAACACTCTAAAATAAATAACAGTTATCAACAAATACTTCTAATGTGGCAAATAAGTTGACATAAAAGCCCACAGTTTTTACTTCAAGCATAATTCATAATCTTCTCAGCTTTGTTTTATATGTCATTAAATGCTTGAGTTGAAGCAGCTTTTCTTGAATGCATTTAAGCTTGAAAAGTCTTTTGAAATGCCTCTTAACTGCTACAGCCATTAGTCATATATTAGTTGTTAGGCATTTTGCTGGTCTAGACCAAAAACCACATGATTGCCATTCCTAAGCAACATACAGTGTGTGTGTGTGTGTGCGGTAATTTGAATTATGAATGCTGCCACAGTGTTGCAACTGCGTTTTTGTGCTGTTTTTGTCGTTGTTGTTGCTGTTGCAGTCTTTTGGGCTTTTGTAATTGTGCGCAATTGTCGGCACCGACTTTCAGTCCAACTGCACACAAACATATGATATATATATATATATATCATAGATACGTGCTCATATGCCACATTTGTATCTCATTCTCATGCTTTTCACACAAAATGCGGTTTTTTCTTTTTTCGTTTTTGCCAATTGCATTTTGAATTTTCTGCTGCCATTTGGAAATTGGCAGCCCTATTCCCCCCAACCCCCTGCTCCTCCCTGCACTTATATTTATGTATATGTATGCATGACTATCACTAACTGAAATTATGTTGCCGCAAATGTGTGAATTGTTTAATGTGTTGTTAGCCAGTTTTGCCAGTTGGGCCCATTTTCATGCTATTTGCCCGTTGCCGGTTTTTCAAGTTTTTCATGTTGCAAATTTTCACCAAAAATTCCATGAAGCTTGCATGTGTGTGCTGTGTGTGTTGTGTGTGTGTTGTGTGTGTTGTGTGTGCAGTTTTAATAATATTTACCTGCCAACATCAACAACATATTCACATGCCGAGGAGAGAGTCGACCCCACAGCAGCCAGAACAACATGATACTACCGAGAGCTGAGAGAACTATCTAAATCTGAGAACTAATAGGCGCACATGTATCTTTAAGATACTTCTGCAACGGCACCCGTTAAACATGTTTGGCCACAATATAAAATAGGCAGCTGCTGTTGCAGTTGTTGTTGTTGTTGCCGTTGTTGTTGCTGTCACTGATCTGACGACCCGTGGCATGCCCATTTAAGTGCCACATGTTCGGCACAAGCCAACAACAAATTATAAACAATGTGCTGCAAGCAGCACGCTGCATAGAGAACTCAAATTTCCATTTCGTTAAAGTGTCGTGCGACAAAAAAAAAAAAGTAATGATAAAAACGGCATTAAGTTAAATTGATTTTCATATAATCAACTTTAATGCGCCCACACACACCACCATATACACTTATAAAAAATAGATAGTATATTCATAAAAAAATCCAAATGCTGTTGAATATTTTAGACAAGAGAAGGTTTTCATATTTCCAGGAGTGTTTTTTGTAAAGGCAAAATTTGTCAATGTAAAACTGTTTTCGGATTTTTTTTCATAAAATAAATATTACTTGGATTATGATATTTTATACAAGTTGACAAACAATCCTGATATCGTCTTAAAATAAAGCTAACTTACTGTAATCACTCAAAGACTCTCAACTCTAAAGTCTTACTCTTACTACAAAACTGCTTGTTAAGAACTTTTAATCATAATTAAAACTCTTTAACGGTTGCATTTTTATTCAAAAGTTATTTATACTTCTTGAAAAAAAAAAAACAATTTGCTATAATTATTTTCTGCTTGACTCCTACTACTTGACTTTACTGATTATTATTTTATTTACGATTATTATTACTTACTTATTTTATAAATAGTAAAAACTCTGACACAGCTGTACTTGAATTTAGAAAGGTTATTCGCTCAGTGTACTCCATTGACAGTTATGTCCAGAGATCTTTGCTTATCCGAGTGCCGCAGTTGTTGGATTTTTTTTTTTATTTTTGGTGGGCGTTCACTCGCATGTGACAATTGCATTTCCGGCGTATCACGCGATTTTGGACTGCCGGTCGCTGAGGCACTGAAGCTCTGAGGCCCACGCTCTTGAACTCTATTAACTGTCTGTCAGTCTGTCTGGTGTTGAAATTTGTTCGGACTGTTTGGCTTTCATTTCTATTTTTTGTTTGGTGAGCAGGTGCATCGTTCAGTCGTCGCCGTTGGGTGCCCCACGCTGCTGCGTGCCACAAATTGCTTGCTCATGTTTGCCGACTTATCCAGCTGCCAGCTGTCTTTGTCGATCAATTGGAATTGATTGTGCTCTCTCTTCCAACCTCTCCCTCTCAGTTTCTCCCTCTCAGTCTCGCCCACTTAGACTCTCTCACTCTCTCTCTCTCTCTCGCATTGTTCTCTCATTGGTGGTTAGTTACAAAACTGTCTGGTTTTTGACAATGCTGGTGGCAGGAACCTACCTGTTTCGAGCAAAACTTATATAATTTAATGTTTGAAAAAAAAGCAACAATAATATTACCGTAGCAACAGCTGTGTTTAATTTGCTGCTCATAAAAAAAGCAACTATAATAAACCATTTTTATTGCCTTGCTCTTTCTGTAAGTAAACACTTCTACAACAAATTTGCACATTAAAGAAATAAAATTATTTGAAAATCATCCGGATAAGCAACAACAAATGTTACATGCAACGCTTTTCCAACATTTCCCGCTACTTCAGAGATGACGCAAAAAAGTATTCATAATATTTGACTTTATTTTCCTTCATTATCTTTAGCCACTTCTTATAAAAGTGACTTGACACAATTTGACTTGTTTTTACATCCTAAAGTCGGTAATGAATCGAGTGACCATCATTGTAGTCTTCTGCTTTAAATTGCTTGTAATGTTTGTTAATTTAACTAGTTAACAGCAGTATAGAAGGGCTGTGCGAAAAGCTATCTGGTAATGGCCGACATTACATTATTTTGGTAACAAGTACTCGTATTTTGTAGAAGCCTTTCTTTGCGCTTCTCATCAGACTGGCTTGGGCGAGTGACAAACAAAATTTGCACGTTTATTTGAGCTTTGAGTTCTTCAGAGAAAATCGCATTGAAAAGTTTTTCATTATTTATTGTATTTTCTTTTGACTGCTGTTGCTGCTGCTGCTTTTGCTGCTGACCAACTTCCATAACGAAAAAGCGCTTGAAAGTCAAAATGCGAAAAGAAATGCGAGCGTGCAGTGAAAAACTAAAAAAAAAAAATGTTGCTGCACATAAAAAATAGAACGTTAAAATGAAAATGTGCAACACAAAACATTGCTCCGCGTGCAGAATTTTTTAATGTGTTTTATGCGTTTTGCCATTTTTATAATTGAGCTGACGGCCAAGATGGGCATTTGGGAAGGGGGGGAGGAGTGGACCACTCCCCACCACAGAAACGGAAGAAGGTTGGGGTAGACGTCAAGTGCCCAAGTTGAAGCTCTGCTGATGGAGTTCTAGTTGGAGCAGAAGTTTCAGTTCCGCTGATGTGCACTCATGTGCACTGAATGCGAAAAAGTGTATTCTGCACTGAAATGCGATATTACTATATATATATATATATATATATATATATTTCGATATGACCTGTATCATAAGAAAAAAATACAGATTGCTGGGTATCTTTGCTGTACGCAAATAAACGCATTTCACTAGTTGTGAAAGTTTTCAGCAATTATGAAATATGATATTTCTTACCTTCCCGAGCTGTATCAATTGAAACAGCCAATATTACAACATATTCAAGGTAAAAGTATCTGCCAGTAAGTTTATATACGCAATACTTTTGCACATAATTTGCACACACTTTATTATCTTAGGTAAGTGGACTCTAAGTTGAGTGAAGGTTTATTCGCCAATGTCTGCGAATTGCGTCACTTAATTAAAAAGTTTGCGTATTTTGAGATTAAGTGAACATTACGAGGAACTTAGGTGGCTCCTTTCCAAACCCCTTTCAATTAAATAACATTTTAATCAACCGCAAGAACATGTCTTTATAGCTTGGGAAGAAACAGAATCAATTTGTCTACACTCAGAATATGTAAGATGATGAGAATAAATATCTTTAAAAATCGCATATAGTTATTTCTATGTGGTGGGTATTTCACAGTTAGTCAGCTTAAATATAATTATATTCCAACGAATTGTAATTATTATTTTGATTACAAGCAGCATATAACAGTTGGCAGTGCTTACCTTTTTTGGCCAGCAGCAATGTGCAACGAGCATTGAAATCCAGTTGCAATGAAAAGAGGCTTTGAAAGATCTCCAGAACTGGTGCACAGACAAAGTTCCCCAGTCGTATTTGTCGTAATCATCATCATCATCATCATCACGGTCGTTGTGGCCGTCGGTGTGGTCCGTAATGCACGTTTCCGTCAACTGTGCTCCAGTTCAGTTTTTTGTTCTCTATTTGTTTTTTTTTCTTTTTCATTTTCAACCGGGCCGCGTTTATAAACTCATTTGGTTTTTCACGCGTGAGGCTTTAAAGTAATTTCTTCGCTGGAAGTTTGGGTCAGTTAATAACTCAATTTGTCCTTTAACGGATTCTGTTTTCTGCTTTACGTAATTGAGGTTGCAGCATTCTCGAGTATTTCGTAATAGTAGTAAGCCACCTTGGACACTAGCCAAATGCCCCGTTAGACATCGTG